CACCTCACTCTCACTTCATGGATGATAATGCACAATTTCCACCTAACTCTCACTTCACAGATGATAATGCACAATTTCCACCTCACTCTTACTTCACCGATAATAATGCACAATTTCCACCTCACTCTTACTTCTCCGATAATAATGCACAATTTCCACTTCACTCTTACTTCTCCGATAATAATGCACAATTTCCACTTCACTCTTACTCCACAGATAATAATACCCAGTTTCCACCTCACTCTTACTTAACGGCTGATAATACTTAATTTCCACCTCACTCTTTAAATACTTTGTTTGTTTGTAAGCTGAAAGAGTTACTTATTTATGTCTTAATGAATTTTGAAACAAATATTTGTATCTATTATCTTTTTTAATCAATATCAGCTGGAATGTGTATATGTGTTAATTCTATTCTCATGCAAGTCATAAGTTGAGATGGAGAATTCATATGGCTGTTTGAAAGCTGAAAGAGTGACTTTATTATAAGTTACGTCTTAATGAATTTTGAAACAAATATTTGTATCAATTTCCTTTTTAAACCAATATCAGCTGGAATGTGTTAATGTGTTAATCCTACTCTCATGCAAGTCGTGAGGTTGAGACAGAGAATTGTGTGGTAGTTTTTATAACATTATGAAATCTGACAGCAGCACAACAGCTTCAGTCTGGTCCATGTGTATTGATTCAGGGATTGGTTGTAATGAACGTTTCGTGTCAGGATATTGATGTAATAATCAACTCAACAAATGTGGGCAGACAATCAATGTGGGCAATCATTAAACAGTATCATGTTCGCATTTGTCTCATAATGACTGATTATTTCCCTCAGTTTAGATTTGTATACAGCGTCTCCTCTTATCTGAAAGCTGAAGAGACCCGTGTGTCTCACACAGACTGACAGCCCATTTGTATACAGCGTCTCCTCTTATCTGAAAGCTGAAGAGACCCATGTGTCTCACACAGACTGACAGTCCATTTGTATACAGCGTCTCCTCTTATCTGAATGCTGAAGAGACCCATGTGTCTCACACAGACTGACAGTCCATTTGTATACAGCGTCTCCTCTTATCTGAAAGCTGAAGAGACCCATGTGTCTCACACAGACTAACAGTCCATTTGTATACAGCATCTCCTCTTATCTGAAAGAGACCCATGTGTCTCACACAGACTGACAGTCCATTTGTATACAGCATCTCCTCTTATCTGAAAGAGACCCATGTGTCTCACACAGACTGACAGTCCATTTGTATACAGCGTCTCCTCTTATCTGAAAGCTGAAGAGACCCGTGTGTCTCACACAGACTGACAGTCCATTTGTATACAGCGTCTCCTCTTATCTGAAAGCTGAAGAGACCCATGTGTCTCACACAGACTGACAGTCCATTTGTATACAGTGTCTCCTCTTATCTGAAAGCTGAAGAGACCCATGTGTCTCACACAGACTGACAGTCCATTTGTATACAGCGTCTCCTCTTATCTCAAAGAGACCCATGTGTCTCACACAGACTGACAGTCCATTTGTATACAGCGTCTCCTCTTATCTGAAAGCTGAAGAGACCAATGTGTCTCACACAGACTGACAGTCCATTTGTATACAGTGTCTCCTCTTATCTGAAAGCTGAAGAGACCCATGTGTCTCACACAGACTGAGTCCATTTGTATACAGCGTCTCCTCTTATCTGAAAGCTGAAGAGACCCGTGTGTCTCACACAAGCTGACAGTCCATTTGTATACAGCGTCTCCTCTTATCTGAAAGAGACCCATGTGTCTCACACAGACTGACAGTCCATTTGTATACAGCGTCTCCTCTTATCTGAAAGCTGAAGAGACCCATGTGTCTCACACAGACTGACAGTCCATTTGTATACAGCGTCTCCTCTTATCTGAAAGAGACCCATGTGTCTCACACAGACTGACAGTCCATTTGTATACAGCGTCTCCTCTTATCTGAAAGAGACCCATGTGTCTCACACAGACTGACAGTCCATTTGTATACAGTGTCTCCTCTTATCTCAAAGAGACCCATGTGTCTCACACAGACTGACAGTCCATTTGTATACAGCATCTCCTCTTATCTGAAAGCTGAAGAGACCCATGTGTCTCACACAGGCTGAGTCCATTTGTATACAGCGTCTCCTCTTATCTGAAAGCTGAAGAGACCCGTGTGTCTCACACAGACTGACAGTCCATTTGTATACAGCGTCTCCTCTTATCTGAAAGCTGAAGAGACCCATGTGTCTCACACAGACTGACAGTCCATTTGTATACAGTGTCTCCTCTTATCTGAAAGCTGAAGAGACCCATGTGTCTCACACAGACTGACAGTCCATTTGTATACAGCGTCTCCTCTTATCTCAAAGAGACCCATGTGTCTCACACAGACTGACAGTCCATTTGTATACAGCGTCTCCTCTTATCTGAAAGAGACCCATGTGTCTCACACAGACTGACAGTCCATTTGTATACAGCGTCTCCTCTTATCTGAAAGAGACCCATGTGTCTCACACAAGCTGACAGTCCATTTGTATACAGCGTCTCCTCTTATCTGAAAGAGACCCATGTGTCTCACACAGACTGACAGTCCATTTGTATACAGCGTCTCCTCTTATCTGAAAGAGACCCATGTGTCTCACACAGACTGACAGTCCATTTGTATACAGCGTCTCCTCTTATCTCAAAGAGACCCATGTGTCTCACACAGACTGACAGTCCATTTGTATACAGTGTCTCCTCTTATCTGAAAGCTGAAGAGACCCATGTGTCTCACACAGACTGACAGTCCATTTGTATACAGCATCTCCTCTTATCTGAAAACTGAAGAGACCCATGTGTCTCACACAGACTGACAGTCCATTTGTATACAGCGTCTCCTCTTATCTGAAAGCTGAAGAGACCCATGTGTCTCACACAGACTGACAGCCCATTTGTATACAGCGTCTCCTCTTATCTCAAAGAGACCCATGTGTCTCACACAGACTGACGGCCCATTTGTATACAGCGTCTCCTCTTATCTGAAAGAGACCCATGTGACTCACACACACTGACAGTCTATTTGTATAGAGCATCTCCTCTTATCTCAATGAGACCCATGTGTTTCATGTTTGTCCATGTGTAACAGCGACTCCCTTTATCTCTGTGTCAAAGGAAACCTAACAGTTGTTGCTACACATTGCCCACAGAGCTTACAATTTTCAAGACAAACCTTTTTCTGAAGTTTACAGCACAGTTGACATTATAGAATAGCTTCAGTAAGACTGTATGTTAACTATGTCATTATAGGTGATATAATGGTTTCAAAACTTTTGCTTTTCACAGGAAACATTTGAAGCTAACCTTGAATTGAGGAACTGTCATGATGATAATTTTTTTTCTATTATCTTGTTATGTATAGATATATACATATCTAGTATAAAATACATGATATTATCTTAGTGTTACATGTCTGTTATCTTAGTATATATGCATATAATTTTAGTATTATATACATCATGTACATGTTATCTTAGTATATGCATATCATTTTAGTATTATAAACATGTTATCTTAGTGTTTATACATGTATACCTATCATCTTATTGTTATATACATATTACACATATTATTTTATTATGTACATATGTTATCATAGAATTATATACATATTATCTTAGTGTTATATACATATTATCTTTGTGCTATATACATGATATACATATTATCATAGTGTTATATAGATATTATCTTAGTGTTATATGCATATTATCTTAGTACTATATACATATTACACATATCTTATTGTTATGTACACATTATCATAGAGTTATATGCAAATTATCTTAGTGTTATATTCATATTATCATAGTGTTAAATATATATTATCTTAGTGTTATAAACATATTGTCTTAGTGTTATATACATATTGTCGATAGTGGTGTAAAACCAGCTTACACAGATTCTCCAATATTTCATGCTTGGCTATAAAAAGCATAACATTCACAGTTGCTGGCAGCCAGTATGTCTCAGCCCCACAATATCCCATCTTTGATCTGAATTTTAATAACAAATAATTCAGGGCTGAGATTCACCTACTAAAAATAAAGAACATCAACTTGTGAAGTAAAAGTACTGTATGGGGGGTGGGTGGAGATACAAATCGTATCAAGACTCCTAGTGTCTGGGTACCCATCGTATTGCGACTCCACCATATCGTTACACCTCTAATTATCGAAGTGTTATGTACATGAAATTGTCTTCGTGATATACATATTATCTTTGTGTTGTATAATGTTATGTTAGTGTTATAAATATATATATATATATATATATATATATATATATATATATATATATATATATATATTGACCCGTGACGATCCGAGTTTTATTTGGTCTTCAGCAACCAATGTTTGTCATAAGAGGCGAGATAACAGGATCGGGTTGTCAGGCTAACTGACTTGGTTGATGTATGTCATCACGTCCCAATTGCATACATCGATGCTCATGATGCCAATACGGGGATTGGTCCAGACTCGATTATTTACACACTGCTACTACTACTACACTTCCTACTTCGAGACAACCATAAGTTCAACACATCAAAGTTCGACACAGCGGTGTTGAACTGTACATGATATTATCTGAGTGTTTTGGTTTGGTTTGGTTTGTTGTTTAACGCCGCACTCAGCAATATTCCAGCTATATGGCGGTGGTCTGTAAATAATCAAGTCTGGACCAGACAATCCAGTGATTAATATCATGAGCATCGATCCATGCAATTGGGATACTCTTACAACAAGTAGAGTCGCCTGTTACGACAATTATAGTCGCCTTATTATCTTAGTGATGATCACTATCTTGTACATGAAATAGATGAAAGCATCATGTTTTTTCTGTGTGTGCATTGTAACCCTGGCTCCAGATCTTGAAAACTCTACAATCTTGGCAAAATGAAAGGGCATTTTTTTGAAAATATAGTATATATTGTGTCACCTGGTCTCATGACTGTGTTTGTGTTGTAGAGGGATCCCCTGACTTGCAGTTTGTTCGGCACAAGCAGTGAGTATAAAACTTAGTCCACAATAGCTTATGTAAAGTAATTAAGCAATACAAAAGCGTTGAAGATCTGGGTTAGAATTGGTCTTCAGGAATCCGTTCTTGTCTCACCCCATGAAGGTCCAGGTTGGAACTGGTCTTCAGCAACCCATGCTTAGTGTCTCCTTGCATGAAGATCTTGGTTAGAATTGGTCTTCAACAACCCATGTTTGTCTCCAGGCATGAAGATCCGGGTTAGAATTGGTCTTCAGCAACCCATGCTTAGTGTCTCCTTGCATGAAGATCTTGGTTAGAATTGGTCTTCAACAACCCATGTTTGTCTCCAGGCATGAAGATCCGGGTTAGAATTGGTCTTCAGCAACCCATTCTTGTCTCCCCCCGTAAAGATTCGGGATAGAATTGGTCTCCTCCAACCCATGCTTGTCTCCCTCCATGAAGATCGATAGAATGTCACAGGAGCCGATTAACGGGATCGAATGAACAGGCTCATTGATGCTTGTCATCGTATCCTAATGGTGTAGATCAATGCTCATGAAGTCAATGTCTGAATTTTCTGGTCCAGACTTGATTATTTACAGACCTTCATCATATAGCTGGAATATTGCTGAGTGCAGCATTAAACAGCAAGACAATATAATGCTAAATATACCTAAGAAAAGTTGGGGTGAACATTGAGTTTTTGGACAGTGAGTTTTCCATGAGCAACAGTAGAATCCCTTTCCACTGGCCATGCTTTATGTCAAGTTGGCAGTGTCCCAACTGGTAAACTTTCCGCCCTGCTTCTAGCAACTGCCTTTGTTTCTGGTCATCAAGTCATATTTTATGGGTGCTTCAATTGAGGAAATTATCCCTCATGGTGACATTGTCCAGATCTTGATCACCTGTTCTACATATGGCTACAGCTACATATGTGATGTATAACCATGATAACATATGTTCTACATATGGCTACAGCTACATATCTGATGTAGAACCATGATAACATATGTTCTACATATGGCTACAGCATCATATCTGATGTAGAACCATGATAACTTATGTTCTACATATGGCTACAGCAACATATGTTCTACATATGGCTACAGCAACATATGTGATGTATAACCATGATAACTTATGTTCTACATATGGCTACAGCAACATTTGTGATGTATAACCATGATAACTTATGTTCTACATATGGCTACAGCAACATTTGTGATGTATAACCATGATAACTTATGTTCTACATATGGCTACAGCAACATATGTTCTACATATGGTTTCCACCTTTGTCGAACTACGCTGGAATTTTGTGGCTTGATCCTAGCGCCACCAGTGGCCATGATGAGTTATGCCCCATGCTTTATGTCAAGTTGGCAGTGTCCTAAATGGTAAACTTTCCGCCCTGCTGCTATCAGCTGTATGTGTTTCTGGTCATCAAGTCATATTTTATGGGTGCTTCGATTGAAGAAATTATCCCTCATGGTGACATTGTCCAGATCTTGATCACCTGTTCTACATATGGCTAGAGCAACATTTGTGATGTGTAACCATGATAACTTATGTTCTACTTATGGCTACAGCAACATTTGTGATATATAACCATGATAACTTATGTTCTACATATGGCTACAGCAACATATGTGACGTATAACCATGATAACATATGTTCTACATATGGCTACAGCATCATATCTGATGTATAACCATGATAACATATGTTCTACATATGGCTACAGCAACATATATGATGTGTAACCATGATAACATATGTTCTACATATGGCTCAGTAACATATGTGATGTGTAACCATGATAACTTATGTTCTACATATGGCTCAGTAACATATGTGATGTGTAACCATGATAACTTATGTTCTACATATGGCTACAGCAACATATGTGATGTGTAACCATGATAACTTATGTTCTACATATGGCTCAGTAACATATGTGATGTGTAACCATGATAACTTATGTTCTACATATGGCTACAGCAACATATGTGATGTGTAACCATGTTAACTTATGTTCTACATATGGCTACAGCAACATATGTGATGTATAACCATGATAACTTATGTTCTACATATGGCTCAGTAACATATGTGATGTGTATCCATGTTAACTTATGTTCTACATATGGCTACAGCAACATATGTGATGTATAACCATGATAACTTATGTTCTACATATGGCTACAGCAACATATGTGACGTATAACCATGATAACATATGTTCTACATATGGCTACAGCATCATATCTGATGTATAACCATGATAACTTATGTTCTACATATGGCTACAGCAACATATGTGATGTGTAACCATGATAACTTATGTTCTACATATGGCTCAGTAACATATGTGATGTGTAACCATGATAACTTATGTTCTACATATGGCTACAGCAACATATGTGATGTGTATCCATGTTAACTTATGTTCTACATATGGCTCAGTAACATATGTGATGTGTAACCATGATAACTTATGTTCTACATATGGCTACAGCAACATATGTGATGTGTATCCATGTTAACTTATGTTCTACATATGGCTACAGCAACATATGTGATGTGTAACCATGTTAACTTATGTTCTACATATGGCTACAGCAACATATGTGATGTGTAACCATGATAACTTATGTTCTACATATGGCTACAGCAACATATGTGATGTGTATCTATGATAACATATGTTCTACATATGGCTACAGCAACATATGTGATATATAACCATTATAACATATGTTCTACATATGGCTACAGCAACAAACATGATGTATAACCATGATGACATATGTTCTACATATGGTTTCCACCTTTAACGAACTACGTTGGAATTCTGTGGCTTGATCCTAGCGCCACCAGTGGCCATGATGAGTTATGCCCCATCTATGTCCATCCTATTGACCAATCAGATTCCACCTCTCACATCACTTGCATTTGCTTCAAACAAAATGGCAGCGCCCACTCAGGACGATCTGATCGATAATCAAGATCTATTTATGAAATAAACGATGAGTGAGAGTTGTTTATTGTACAATAAAAAACACTGCAGGGTGAATAAACGTGAGGGCTGCAACCCTGAGTGGTTTATTCTTGCTCGAGTGTTGTATTGTACGATAAACAATGACCACAAGTCGTTTAGTTCTATTAATAGACATCAACATTATGTACAGCCTCTTTAAGGATGTAGGTAAAATGTTCAAGCTTTAAGAATATTTAGCCAGATCTTTAAAATGATGACTCCCTGAATAGAATCTGACCTCGGAAAAGTCGGACAAGTCCATTTTACAAACAGATGGGGTTAAGTTTAGTATTTCACACATATTCTCACAATCCTCGCATCGATTATCTGTACCTTTTCTCCTAATACCAATTGTCATATCTCTCCGGAGTCCCGCTTCTGGATGCGATCGTTCAGCAATCGCGTTTATCTGCGTTGCCCAGCTTCATCTATGGGGAACAACTTACAAGACACTTCCCTCTCAAAAATAATTCACGACCTCGTCAAATTGCGAGCTCATATTTGAATCTCCAGAAATGACGTCATGATAGAACAATGTTTCACCGTGAAATAAACCACACTTTGTTCTACCTTGTTCTTTGCGATTTATCCCATAGCTATTTTATATATTGTCATAAAAACGGCCTTAACTAATGAAGTGCATCAAATCATTTGAGCACATTGATTAAAAACGTGAAAAGATTTGGAAAATATGTCGACGCCCAGTTGACGGGACATTGTGTTTGCAATCTGTTCTGAGAACTTGACGCAAGAAGGGATTCAGTCTCATTATTCTACGGGACCACTGTCGAAACCTCACCAAACTGGACTTTTTCTGACCCATTGACCCAGAATTCCCACAAAGGCGTTTGATGAATTGTTTAGAATGAATAAGATGCAAGCTTTGCATGTGATGAACAATGTTTTTCTGTACACAATACATTTCTTGTCTTCAGGCTGCCGGAATGGTGTCCTCCCGCCTCACCTGGGCGGTCCTTTCATGGGTTCGCCGGAGTCCCTGACGGTGGAGGGAGCGTATGTCAAGGGCGGAACCGGTAACCTCAACCCCCAGCTGGTTTTCACATGGAAACCCCCTGCAGCAGGTACACACCCTATGCTGAGGGTCAGAAACTACCTCTTGTTGTTAAGGAAGGGACAGTCTCTTATCTTCTACTAAAAAAATGTTAGACTGGGTGGTGGTTAAGGGTTTGGTTGAAGCTGATTTCCCTGAAATTGTGGGTCAAAATTTTAAAGCTGGAAGTGCATTTAATTTTCTTTGAAGGGTAGTTAGAGGCATGGTACCTTCTTTAAAAATTACAGATTTGTTGCATTACACATGCATTTTCTAAACCTGTAATGACACTATTAAGAAGGAAGTGGATGTAATTTTCTGTTTAATGTAGATAGAGGCATGGGATTTTAAATGTGTTTAAGTCACACTGCAAATGACATTTCGTTATTTTCTCCAACCAGAATTGCTTTTGACCTACTTCGTAAGGTAGCTAGGACTCTCATTTTCAAAATTCTACTACTTTGGTCATTCATTTTCCCATACTGAGGCCATGTTTTTAAATGAGAAGTATATGTACTTATACTTTCTTGTTAAGGTGGCCTGAAGAAAAGGATTTTTGGTTTCAAAGTTGCACAGCATTTGGCATTTGTCTTCCCAAACCGGAAGTGATGTCCATAAACAAGAAGTGCTTATGACTTTGTTGTTAGGGAGGATACTTGTGGTGGGACGATACACTGATACATCGGTGGATCGCGATTTTTTACTTCCTGATACAAGTATCAATCACAGTGGCACACAAAGTGAAAAATATAGATACATGCCTTAAATCTTTTCTGTAATAGCGGTTGGGCAGGCACAGTGTTGGGTTGGGCAGGCACAGTGTTGGGCAGGCACAGTGTTGGGCAGGCATGGTGTTGGGCAGTACAGTGTTGTGCAGGCACGGTGTTGTGCAGGCACGGTGTTGTGCAGGAACGGTGTTGGGCGGGCACAGTGTTGTGCAGGAACGGTGTTGGGCGGGCACAGTGTTGGGTTGGTCAGGCACAGTGTGGGGCAGGCATGGTGTTGTGTTGGTCAGGCACGGTGTTGGGTTGGTCAGGCACAGTGTGGGGCAGGCATGGTGTTGGGTTGGGTAGGCACAGTGTGGGGCAGGCATGGTGTTGTGTTGGCAGGCACTGTGTCTGGTGGGCACGGTGTTGGGCGGGCACGGTGTTGGGCAGGCACGATTGGGAAGGCAGGGTGTTGGGTTGAGCATGCAGGGTGTTGTGTTGAGCATGCAGGGTGTTGTGTTGAGCATGCAGGGTGTTGGGCAGGCATGGTGTTGTGTTGAGCATGCAGGGTGGTGGGCATTTCGGAAGATGGGGACAGGGAGTTGCATCTTGTTTCAGCTGAATGGACGAGGAAGGACTTTCATTTCCATGTGTTGTTTTTGCAGCTGCTGGCTTCAATCATCTCAAGGGGTTCTATGTAGAAATCCATAGATTAACAGGAATTTCTGCCCGAGATCCTTTCTATTGCCGTGTGTTTGACTTTGCTGAGAACAATTTTACCAACCAGGACTACATGGTAAGCTCATAGGGCTAAAAATAATTCTCTTGGTTCTAAGGCACCGCCCGCATCATCATAAAGTCCGCCACACATTTCGCTTTATTTCAATTTTAAGAAAAAAGAAATCCTTAAATAGTCCGTGTCTCGAACACACGACCCCAGCATTGAAATGCTACAATACTTAAAAAACAATGTGATCCAATATAATGATTTTGCCGAAATAAAAGCAAACAAAATTGAATCAAATCTGGGATAAAAGTAACATGATGGATAACAATCGTCCAGATTCACAATGAATGCTTTTATTTCCAGAATAGTGTAATAACAGTACTAACTTCAGTATGCATTTGTTGACCTGTTTCGTCTGGTGGTGTGTGCTCATAGTAACGTCTTCACGTTTGGAAATAAAATCAAAGCTCATTGTATGCATGAAATATGCACACAATGGAAGTCAAACGGTAGTCAGATACTGTATTTCAATATTTTACTCATCAAGGAGTACATTAATGTTTGGAGGCCCTTTCCCGGGTTGATTGTACACAACTATTTATTTGGTTACATACTAGTTTGTGTCAAACGAGGGTAGGGTTCGTTTCCGGAAAACATCTTGACAACCATTAAATCTTTTTCAAGGAATCTTGGCATATTGATTACATATCAGCTGAACTGGTTTCTTTTGCTATTTTAAATTTTTCAAAATCATGTTTTTTTATGTGTCCATGGAAACAATTTCGACTTAGTCTCATTTGAGGTGAGGGTTTGTTTCAGGGCTATAACTTGAAAACCTTTCAACATTTTTCAATAAAACTTGGCATATGGATTGCTCATTGGCTTATGTGGTGAGTGAGTGAGTGAGTATGGTTTTACGCCGCTTTTAGCAATATTCCAGCAATATCACGGCGGGGGACACCAGAAATGGGCTTCACACATTGTACCCATGTCGGGAATCGAACCCGGGTCTTCGGCGTGACGAGCTAACGCTTTAACCACTAGGCTACCCGACCGCCCCTGGCTTATGTGGTGGCTTTTGCTATTTTAAACAAATTCAGAATTTTACTTTTTTATGTTTCCATGGAAACAATTTGGACTTAGTCTCAAAAACTCTAGGCTACATATCTGAGCCATAGCTCTCAAACTACCGTAATAAATATATTTGCATAAAATCTACACATGAGCAATGACCTTATGCTCAACTATTGCCTTTGATATTTTTCATTTTTAATCATTTTAATGTCTTGTTTTTCTCAAGTCTCTTTATACTAAGCATAAAGCTAATGATTGTTCTATGCATATAGATATACATCTACTTGCACAATACGATCGATCATCTAAACTGCTGTTCAAAATTCTTATCATAAAGAGTCATCATGACATCAACCCTAACGCTGCTTCATTAATGCAAATCTGTTCTAGTATTTTTTCCTAGTGTTTTTTTTTTTGATTTGCAAACACATTTATAGTAACAACTTGAGATACCGTATCAAAAACAGGAGGGGGAGACATCTGTTTTTATGAGTTAAAACACATTCTAGTTCAGAATGACATCATTGCATTTCATTGAGATGCTGATTTCAACATTTCAACGTTTCATGCATTGCACTGAAATTATCATTATTTCACGATCTGTCAATTTCAGCTGGTGTTCAGAAAGAAAATGATCGGCTTCCCCTCAGGGATAGACTTCTTGTACCGAATGAAGATATTCACCTTGCCGATGGCAGCAGAGTCAAAACCGAAGACAGCATTCTTTAAACTTCAACCATTCCTTGGTAATATTTGAACATTTTTCTGAGATGAGCAGGTGTAATTAAGAAGTCAAGTAGGCTTTGATAGGTTCATTTTAATTTAGGTTGTTTACAGTTTTCTTGGTTGCTTTTAATGAGTGACAATTGTCGTTTTAGTGGTGTGGAGTGATTGGCATTTCTCTGCTGCTCACACTGTATAACATTGGAAATCTGCATTGTGGAAGTTAAAGAGGAAATCTGCATTATTGAAGTAAAAGGGGAAATTATACATTGTGGAAATTAAAGGGGAATCTGCATTATTGAAGTAAAAGGGGAAATATACATTGTGAAAGTTAAAGGGGAAATTATACATTATGGAAATTAAAGGGGAATCTACATTATTGAAGTAAAAGGGGAAATCTGCATTGTGGAAGGTAAAGGGGAAATCATACATTGCGGAAATTAAAGGGGAATCTACATTATTGAAGTAAAAGGGGAAATATACATTGTGAAAGTTAAAGGGGAAATTATACATTATGGAAATTAAAGGGGAATCTGCATTATTGAAGTAAAAGGGGAAATTATACATTGTGGAAATTAAAGGGGAATCTGCATTATTGAAGTAAAAGGGGAAATATACATTGTGAAAGTTAAAGGGGAAATTATACATTATGGAAATTAAAGGGGAATCTACATTATTGAAGTAAAAGGGGAAATCTGCATTGTGGAAGGTAAAGGGGAAATTATACATTGCGGAAATTAAAGGGGAATCTACATTATTGAAGTAAATGGGGAAATTATACATTGTGAAAGTTAAATGGGAAATTATACATTATGGAAATTAAAGGGGAATCTGCATTATTGAAGTAAAAGGGGAAATTATACATTGTGGAAATTAAAGGGGAATCTGCATTATTGAAGTAAAAGGGGAAATATACATTATGGAAATTAAAGGGGAATCTACATTATTGAAGTAAAAGGGGAAATCTGCATTGTGGAAGGTAAAGGGGAAATTATACATTGCGGAAATTAAAGGGGAATCTACATTATTGAAGTAAAAGGGGAAATATACATTGTGAAAGTTAAAGGGGAAATTATACATTATGGAAATTAAAGGGGAATCTACATTATTGAAGTAAAAGGGGAAATATACATTATGGAAATTAAAGGGGAATTTATACATTATGGAAATTAAAGGGGAATCTACATTATTGAAGTAAAAGGGGAAATCTGCATTGTGAAAGTTAAAGGGGAAATTATACATTATGGAAATGAAAGGGGAATCTGCATTATTGAAGTTAAAGGGGATATTATACATTATTGAAATTAAAGGGGAATCTACATTATTGAAGTAAAAGGGGAATATACATTATGAAAGTTAAAGGGGAAATTATACATTATGGAAATTAAAGGGGAATCTGCATTATTGAAGTATACATTGTGGAATTGAAAGGGGAACCTGCATTATTAAAGTAAAAGGGGAAATATACATTGTGGAAATGAAAGGGGAACCTGCATTATTAAAGTAAAAGGGGAAATATACATTGTGGAATTGAAAGGGGAACCTGCATTATTAAAGTAAAAGGGGAAATTTACATTGTGGAATTGAAAGGGGAACCTGCATTATTAAAGTAAAAGGGGAAATATACATTGTGGAAATGAAAGGGGAATCTGCATTGTGGAAATGAAAAGGGAATCTGCATTGTGGAATTTAAAGGGAAATCTACATTGTGGAAATTATCTATTGCGATATCTTTATGCCTTGTCACTCCTATTAGTGTATGAAATTTGTGGCATTTTTTCCAGAAAATGGAAAAGCTACTTCAGCGAATTGGTCGACATCGATCTCCTATGAGAGTGATAACCTGACAGCACCAGCCAGGATTACAGTCCAGTTCAGCTTGGCACCAAAGGAGTATAATTTCAAGAAGTACAACATTGAGCTTGTCAGTGATCGTGATCATAAAAATGTAATGTTCCTCTGCGTCATCAGCACACTGGACAGTTACTCGTGTCAGGGAAGAGTAAGTACACATGTTCTTGAGCATCCCCGCAATGATTTATTGCTGTACTTCCTTGTGTCAAAGACGGCCACCGTGGTCTAGTGGTAGAGCGTCCGCCCGGAGAGCGGAACTCCCTTGTGTCAAAGACGGCCTCCGTGGTCTAGTGGTTGAGCGTCCGCCCGGAGAGCGGAACTCCCTTGTGTCAAAGACGGCCTCTGTGGTCTAGTGGTTGAGCGTCCGCCCGGAGAGCGGAACTCCCTTGTGTCAAAGACGGCCTCCGTGGTCTAGTGGTAGAGCGTCCGCCCGGAGAGCGGAACTCCCTTGTGTCAAAGACGGCCTCCGTGGTCTAGTGGTAGAGCGTCCGCCCGGAGAGCGGAACTCCCTTGTGTCAAAGACGGCCTCCGTGGTCTAGTGGTAGAGCGTCCGCCCGGAGAGCGGAACTCCCTTGTGTCAAAGACGGCCACCGTGGCCTAGTGGTAGAGCGTCCGCCCGGAGAGCGGAACTTCCTTGTGTCAAAGACGGCCTCCGTGGTCTAGTGGTTGAGCGTCCGCCCGGAGAGCGGAACTCCCTTGTGTCAAAGACGGCCACCGTGGCCTAGTGGTAGAGCGTCCGCCCGGAGAGCGGAACTCCCTTGTGTCAAAGACGGCCACCGTGGCCTAGTGGTAGAGCGTCCGCCCGGAGAGCGGAACTCCCTTGTGTCAAAGATGGCCACCGTGGCCTAGTGGTAGAGCGTCTGCCCGGAGAGCGGAACTCCCTTGTGTCAAAGACGGCCACCGTGGCCTAGTGGTAGAGCGTCCGCCCGGAGAGCGGAACTCCCTTGTGTCAAAGACGGCCTCCGTGGTCTAGTGGTAGAGCGTCCGCCCATAGAGCAAAACTTCATTGTGTCAAAGACGGCCACCGTGGTCTAGTGGTAGAGCGTCCGCCCGGAGAGCGGAACTTCCTTGTGTCAAAGACGGCCACCGTGGCCTAGTGGTAGAGCGTCCGCCCGGAGAGCGGAACTCCCTTGTGTCAAAGACGGCCTCCGTGGTCTAGTGGTAGAGCGTCCGCCCATAGAGCAAAACTTCATTGTGTCAAAGACGGCCACCGTGGTCTAGTGGTAGAGTGTCCGCCCCGAGAGCAGAACTTCCTGGTGTCAAAGACCGCCTCCGTGGTCTAGTGGTACAGTGTCCGCCCGGAGAGCAAAACTTCATTGTGTCAAAGACCGCCGCCGTGGTCTAGTGGTAGAGTGTCCGCCCATAGAGCAAAACTTCATTGTGTCAAAGACCGCCGCCGTGGTCTAGTGGTAGAGTGTCCGCCCATAGAGCGAAAATTCATTGTGTCAAAGACCGCCGCTGTGGTCTAGTGGTAGAGCGTCCGCCCGGAGATAGGTACGGGGTTCGATACCTGGCCGCGTCATACCAAAAGACGTTAAAAGATGGTATTTATTGTTACCCTGTTTGTCATAAAGGGGCTAAAACAAGGACTGGTCGGCTCGGAGTCAGTATACTGTGTCTGAGTGAGATATTCATGTTAAATTGCGGTATGGTAGTGAGCTAGCACTATAAATCGCATTAATCTGGACTAGTACAAGCAGCCACACACACACACATGTGCATGCACGTTGCTATATAAGTGCAATGATCTTGGACGCGACGTTAAACCCAATTTCATCTCGCCACACCTCCTTGTGTCAACAAAGAGCCCACTATAGAGAATGTATAGCAACAACAAAACATGTTATTTTAGAAATAACTGATGAGTGGGAAAATAAAACACTGCAGGGAGAATAAATCTCTGCAGTGTTTTATTGTACGATAAATGACGCCCACGTCTTAACTTGTCTTAAGGATGATGGTTAAATGTACAAGCTTAAAAACTATTTACACGTCTTTTAATAATGATGACTCCGACCTCCGACCTCAGCATTGTCGGACAAGCCCATATCATGCACAGGTGGATATATCCTGTATATCCTTTCTCCCAATACTGACTGAGGCGTGGCATGCTGACCAAGGGTGTCCGTCTCCTGCAAGACAATGCTCCAGTACACAACTCTCATGTTGCCCAGACAGAAGCGCGGTCCTGTGGCTATGTCATATCTTTCCAGCTTTTGGATGCCATTGTTCGGCCATCGTGTTTATCTGCGTTACTCTTCTCCATCTGCGGGGAACAACTCACCAGACACTTCCCTCTAAAAAATAACGTCGTCCAATATACGACGTCATCAAGTCGCGAGTGCAAACTCAAATCTCCAGATATGAACTTATGATATAACAATGTCTTATCGTGAAATAAACCACTTTACTTGTACTTTGCGATTTATCACATAGCATTCTTAGGTTTAAAAAATGTAAAAGAATTGGTTCTCAGGCAAAGACTTTTGAAAATATTGTTTTGGCAGGCAGTGTTGTTTTTTTCGTTGCTTGTTCAAACTAGCATGTAACCAAATGTACCATCAACCTGGGAAAGGGACTACCCACATAAACAAGCATACAAGCTCCTATTACCGCCATGACCATAACACGAGATGTGCAGTAAAGCACTACATGCTATATTGGATTGCATTGTTTTTAAATATTAGGGTTTCTTTTAAAAAAGGGACCGGTAAATGGCAATAAAAACGAAACGTCATGATGATGCGGCCGGTGCCTGAGAACCAAGACTAATATTTTAATAGCCTTATATAAGAAAATATATAACATCAGTGCCAGAGAATAGCCTGTCTCCATTGTGTGCCGATATCTGTAATATGAAGACTTGAATTTTGTATATCAAGGATGGTATTAACAATCAAAATTTATGAAGTTTTGTGTTTGATGCTTACATTTTGTGAATGAGTATACAAATGTTCAATTTTGTCTTTTCTAGAACTACCAGAAACCATCTGAGGATGCTGTTACTATAAGACACACATTCTATGATCTAGAACCAGCTATTTACAAAGTGTGGGTGAGTGAATGTTAATTATCAAATGCAGCTGTGGTGATCCAATTTATCATCAGTTGGTGTGTACATAATGTTTTTCACCCAGATGTAGCTGTAGTAGATCTGGATGTCATCAGAGGGTATATATATCGTGTTTATCAGCCAGATGTAGCTGTAGTAGATCTGGATGTCATCAGAGGGTATATATATCATGTTTGTCAGCCAGATGTAGCTGTAGTGAATCTGGATGTCATCAGAGGGTATATATATCGTGTTTATCAGCCAGATGTAGCTGTAGTGAATCTGGATGTCATCAGAGGGTATATATATCGTGTTTATCAGCCAGATGTAGCTGTAGTGGATCTGGATGTCATCAGAGGGTATATATATATCATGTTTATCAGCCAGATGTAGCTGTAGTGAATCTGGATGTCATCAGAGGGTATATATATCATGTTTATCAGCCAGATGTAGCTGTAGTGGATCTGGATGTCATCAGAGGGTATATATATCATGTTTATCAGCCAGATGTGGCTGTAGTGAATCTGGATGACATCAGAGGGTATATATATCGAGTTTATCAGCCAGATGTAGCTGTAGTGAATCTGGATGTCATCAGAGGGTATATATATCGAGTTTATCAGCCAGATGTAGCTGTAGTGAATCTGGATGTCATCATAGGGTATATATATCGTGTTTATCAGCCAGATGTAGCTGTAGTGAATCTGGATGTCATCAGAGGGTATATATATCGTTTTTATCAGCCAGATGTAGCTGTAGTGAATCTGGATGTCATCAGAGGGTATATATATCGAGTTTATCAGCCAGATGTAGCTGCAGTGGATCTGGATGTCATCAGAGGGTATATATATCGTGTTTATCAGCCAGATGTAGCTGTAGTGGATCTGGATGTCATCAGAGGGTATATATATCGAGTTTATCAGCCAGATGTAGCTGTAGTGGATCTGGATGTCATCAGAGGGTATATATATCGAGTTTATCAGCCAGATGTAGTTGTAGTGGATCTGGATGTCATCAGAGGGTATATATATCATGTTTATCAGCCAGATGTAGCTGTAGTGGATCTGGATGTCATCAGAGGGTATATATATCATGTTTATCAGCCAGATGTAGCTGTAGTGAGTTAGTATGTTATCAGATGGTGTATACTATAATGAGTGAGTGAGTGAGTATGGTTTTACACTGCTTTCAGCAATATTCCAGCAATATCACGGCGGGGGACAACAGAAATGGGCTTCACACATTTACCCATGTCGGGAATCGAACCCGAGTCTTCGGCGTGATGAGCGAACGCTTTAACCACTAGGCTACCCGACCGCCCCGTGTATACTATAAATTGTAGCAGGATCACGAGGGTTACATGGGGCTTTATGCGTCCTGTTTTGGAACCGAGTGGTAGAAAACCTAAGGAGGGAGACACTTTAAACTCCATGTACCCCTCGTTATCCTGCTACAACAAATTTATCTTACTGACATGTTTTTATATGACATGTAAAATAATTCAAACAAATTCAAAATTCGAAAAACTGCTGTTCGATTGAGCTGAGGTTAGCTTGCGCTATGTCACGTGACTTCCATTGACTTGGAACCTAACTTGCCCATGGCAGGGTATAATAGATTTATTACCCTGCTGAGAAATTTATTCCCCTCCAAGGCGGGATATACAGTATTTTATCAAGATCACGTGAACCAATCGGATCTCATCATTCTGACATGGAGGTATGATAAATAGCATCTTCGCGAGGCAAGAGAGTTAACTGACTTTAAAAGTCCAGTTTCCACCCTTGCTGAACTAGGCTGGAATTCCTGGGCTCGATCGTAGCGCCACCAGTGGCTGTTACGAGTCCTTTCTATGCCTCTCCTATTGACCCATCAGATTCAACCTCTCGTATCACTTGCATTTGCTTCAAACAAAACGGTGGCGCCAAGTCAAGACGATCTGATCGATAATCAAGATCTATTTGTGATAAAACGAATCTTACATCGCGAAGTGCATCTAATCACGTGAGCACCTTGATTAAAAACAGGAAAAGATTTAGAAAATCGGTGCACATGCTTTGCAAATCCTGCAGTCGACCGACACTTTACAAACCGGATTTCGATTTTGGTGCGTGATTTTGATTGGATTATGCATATACTCGTTAGTCCAGCCAAAATGTAACTCCATAATACCAGCCTAGTTCGGCAAGGGTGGAAAATGGACTTTCATAGTCAGTTCACTCACTTGCCTCGGTAAGATGGATAAATAGTGTTTATCAGATGGTCCTGATGGTGTATACTTAGTGTTTTATCAGTTTTCATATTCATTCTCTAGGCATGCCCTAATATGAAACAGCTCTGTATGTCACTTTCTTCTTCACAATTTAATGGTCATGCTCTTATGACGTTTGGGGGCACAGGTGGCCCAGTCATCTAAGGCGCCGCGATTCGCTGTGCAGAGTTATGTCCCTTTGGCACGCCAGAAACCTATGATTGTGGGTTGGAATCCTGGTTCGCCCCGATTATGTTTCTAGGTTTGTCAGCACCATACCTGTGCTCATGGGTTTCACATAAGTGGTAAACGTCTGAGACCTGCATCAGTTCGGGCTTTCCTCCCACATTAAGCTGACACGCCGTGATATGACTGAGTACTGCTAAAAGCGGTGTTAAACCCAACTCACTCACTCACACACTCTTATGATGTTTTTATTTTTATTTCAAGGTGTCACCACACAACCCACACTGGCAGGAGGAAGGCCAATGTCTGTGTTCTGAGAAGACATCAGTCAATGAAAGCCACTGTGTTCGCTGTATCACCACAACTACTGGAAACATCACCATTACACAAAATGGTCAACAAACTGGTGAGTGACAATCTGATTGGATTTGCCATACCTATTGTCAACTCTTAAGCAGAAATTATGGAAAGGATAAAACAAGACTCCAAGTTTGGTCACTGCTGTCATCAGTAATTGGTCAATCAGTCCTCTGTCCGCCGTGATCAATGGTTGGTCGATCAGTCACTGTCCACTATTCCATCATTTTTCCAAGCAAATATTACCTTACCATATTCGACGTAATAAGCGCCAAAGGGCTTTCAAAATTAGAAATAGGGGGCTCTTATTGGAATATTATTTTGGTAGGAAAAACAGAGTTGAAAGATAAATTTTGTGGTTTATGGCCTGAACTGTTTATATACGACAGATATATTTTTCCAGAATTTGATTGCCCATAATTAAGGGTGCATAGAACACACGATTGCATATTATACCTGAATAAATAAGTCTTGTGTACATTGATCAATCGGAAGGGGTGCTTATTGGGATTGTTCACTTGCCAATATATTAGCAAATATCGCTGTGGCCGTTTATTAGAGCGGGGCGCTTATTACGTCGAATACGGTAATTGCCACCCAAATCAACGTATATCTCAATAAAGTATAATAACACCAATATTTTGAGAAGACCCCCAACTCAGGTGACATTTTCACCTGTGAGAATACACGGGAAGGTGTAAGGTCTTCATGACAGGACAGGTGTTAGTTAATTACCTCAGGCCATTGCCACCCAAATCAACGTATATCTCAATAAAGTATAATAACACCAATATTTTGAGAAGACCCCCAACTCAGGTGACATTTTCACCTGTGAGAATACACGGGAAGGTGTAAGGTCTTCATGACAGGACAGGTGTTAGTTAATTACCTCAGGCCATTGGCCATTTTGTACATGCATTACAAATTTTATCTTAATTTTAGGCAGGCGACTATGCTTGTCGTAAGAAGTGACTAACGGGATCGGGTGGTCAGTCTCGGCGACTGGGTTGATGCATGTCATTGTATCCTAATTGCATAGATCGAGGCTCATGATGTCAGTCACTGGATTGTCTGTTCCAGACTTGATTATTTACAGATCACCGTCATATAGGTGGAATATTGCTGAGTGTGGCATTAAACATCAAACAAACAAACCTTTATAGGCTAATCACAGTGTAAGTTAGAATAGGGTAGATTCGCGTTATGTTGATACATGCTACATTTTCAAAGCCATATGATTTGTATTTATTAGATGAAGCCAGAAAATCTTTTTTCTAGCATTTGTGACAGTTCCTTAGTTAATCAGACCAGTCATTTCCAACAGGTGCATCCCAGCCTACTGTAGCAAAACCTGTAGCCACACTACCAGCTAGTGGTAGCTCCGACACAACCACAGGAGAGACCCCTCGCATGGGGACGTCAAGTAAGAACAGCTTTAATGCATCTGTATAACTGTTCCTGATGGGGAATAAATCTTCCTCTTTGCATGTTGTTTATCTGTCTTGATGTCACCTTTGCCTCTCTATGCTCTCTGATACTCTCACTTATATGGTGTAGTTTGTGCATCTTGATTCTATTATCATAATCAACCTGGGCCAGTTCACCACTGTGGCTTTGTTTCAAATCTTGATTGAATGAGATGACTTTGAAAATGGCAATCCACACTGTCTTTCTTGATTGAAACAAGCGTCAATACATGTTTATACATGGGATATACCAACGGAGTTTGTTCATCCCTCCGTCCATCTGTCAGCCTATCCTTCCTTCCATCCAAATTTTCTGGTCATGATCTCAAAAGAGTGTCGTAATTTTGTTTTTACAGAGTTATGGCCCTTGCTCCATGCTTTTCAACTTAGTGCATACTGTGTGAAATGGGTACAAATTTTCTCAGGAACTACTGAAGTTGCATAAATGAAAGTTTTCATTCTTATTGTTTCTAAGAAATACTTGTCAAGACTGAGTTCGAAAATTGGTCCTATCAATTATTTTTTTACTGAGTTATAGCCCTTGCCCAATCCTTTTCAATTCAGTGCATACTATGTGACAAGATTTCTGAAACAACCTGAGAAGGGGCCTTTCATGTGGATTAATTTCACATTTAATCATTTTTACTGATGACATGAATCGAACCAAGTGCCTCTCTTCCTAAGGCTTTATAGGACTATATTTTATAGTTTATAGTCACTACTATATGAACCTTCCGGGGTAGAGTAGGTCTTCAGCAACCGATGCTTGCCGTAAAAGGTGATTCTGCTTGTCGTAAAAGGCAACTAACAGGATCGGGTGGTATAACTCGCTGACTTGGTTGATACATGTCATCGATCCCAATTGGGTGGATCGATGCTCATGATGTCAGTCACTGGATTGTCTGGTCCAGACTCGATTATTTACCGACCTCTGCATATAGCTGGAATATTGCTGAGTGTGGCGTTAAACAACAAACCAACCAACTATATGAACCAACAAGATTCTAATGTGACCCATGGCATGGGATAGTGATTACGCTGTTTTCTTGTTACATATGGGTGTGTAGGGTAGTATTCTCATTGTAATTTCATTGGTTAATGACGCATTGCCGGGACTACATTTACCCATTCATCATGTTCATTCATCTTTTTCCACAAACAAATCTCTGTCGTATGGGAATTGTCATTTACAACATAAAGTGTTCTATAAACTATAGACCCGTGAAGATCTGGGGTAGAGTAGTTCTTCAGCAACCCATGCTTGCCATTAAAGGCAGTTAACGGTGGTCATCGTATCCCAATTGCGATGAGGCCAATCACTGGATTGTCTGGTCCAGACTTGATAACTTACAAACTGCCGTCATACTGCTGAAATATTGCTGAGTGCGGCATTAAACAACAAACAAACGAAACACTATAGTTTTTATTAATCCAAATAAAATATCGTCCACACATGTTGTTTATGATAGTTAGGTTTATGTTTTGTGTATTCCATTAAGTTGACAGTGATTTACATTACATTTGATGGAATAAATCGTGTACTATAACTGCATGTAAACAACAATGGCGACATTGTTGTCCCCGATAAAAATGAACGATTGACGGAAAGTTGGTTGGAAGAGAAGTGAACATGATACACCCTTATTGAAAGGAAATGTCATTGAAAAACCATTTTTTTCCCATTTATTTTTGTCCCATTGAAACTCCATTTAAATGCCATTTTTCTTTCCTGTGGGATGGTGTATACCAACTATGTACGATGTGTTGCTATGTGTAATACAACATTGACATTAGTTTTGAAAGCAAGTAAAGCTTTAATTCCTATAAAACAGCTTAGTTATAAACTTCGAAATATCGCTCCCAAAGTGTTGTTTAAAATGTTCGACTCTCAGATTAAACCTATTATTTTATATGGTTGAGAGATTTGGGGGGTTCATAAATGGTTGTTTCTCGAACGTTTCCAAGCCAAGTTTTGTAAATTTGTTTTGCGTATCGGTTCCAAATCTACAAATATTGCAGTGCTTTGAGTGTGGTCGATATGGTATTTATATTGATTCTTACACAAGATGTTTAAGATACTGGTTTAAGCTTCTTAATATGTCTCAAGAGAGATTTCCAAAACGGGTTTACGATATGTTAGTTAGGTTTGATGCCGTTGGTAGGAATACATGGGTTTCGGCTATTAAGAATATGTTATATTCTCATGGCTTCGGACATGTGTGGGAATTTCAAGGTGCTGGTGATCCTGAATATTTTATAAGTGAGTTTATACTGAGGGTTAAGGACTGTCATGCACAAACATGGTATTCTGAATTGTCTGGATGCTCGAAATTAGAACTGTATTCATTATTTAAGACATCATTATCACTTGAACCGTATCTATTAAATGTATTATCAAAAGAAAAGCGACGTATGCTTACCCTTTTACGTATTGGAGAACTGGGAATTATGCATAACACAGGAAGGAGGGATGGCATCGATAAGACACTCCGGTTTTGTCCATTGTGCAAGTTAAGGGCAGTTGAAAATGAAATTCATTTCATTCTTGTTTGCCCTATTTATGAAGATATTCGCTCAAAATATTTCCCATATTTAGACTTCATTACTGGTAATAATCGTAAAGACACACTGGTTAGAATGTTAAACTCTTCTGATGTAAACCGCCTTGAGAACTTAGCCAATTATGTTAAAAATGCTAACTGTCTTCGTTCTTCTTACCTGTAAATATTATTTCATGCAGCACTTGATGTGAAACTAAATTGTATATGTCTGTACGTGGGCCTGAGGCCTTATTACCGAATAAACTGATTGATTGGTTGACCATTGACTTTCCATTTAAATACCATTTTTTCTCTCAAAACCACTAAAACTCCATTGATTCTCCATTCATTTAAGCGGAAATATTTAAATTGCCTTTTCCTTATATGCTAATATGCTAAGTACCTCAAAAATGGTATTTAAATGGAAAATAACTGTAAAATAAATGGTACCATTTAAAAAACAACCTGAAAATAAATGGTACCATTTAAAAAAAACCTGAAAATAAATGGAAATTAAATGGTGTTATTTTTAAGAAAAATAGCATTTAAGCAGAAATTAATAATTCTACTGGCTTAAAATCCTGTTTAAACTATGAATACATGAATGTCTCTCCTTTGGCCCTGGCAAAATAAAATGCCCTATAGAACCAATGCACGGCAGCAGTGACAATATTTGCATACAGATATATATAATGCAACAAATTGGATAGGCAGTTTGAACACATGAATTTACCATTGTACTTCCAAGTCATTGTAGATGCACCATCTGATTCAAGACTCATGATCTTTTGTGGAGGGACACCGCGTTTCTCCAATTCATCCAAAATTGCCACTGCAATTCCTTTCCCTGTCGTATCTGTGCACTCAATGTTTGTGACAAAATGAGTGCTAGGCACCATATCTTCTATTATTTGGCAATAAATAACAAGGCGTTTGTGGTTGGTGATGTCTGTACTTTCGTCTGCCAAAGCAGTAACAAACGGAGATTTTTCTAACTTAATCCGCTTTTCGTCCTCAATCACATCAGACATAGATTTTAGGAGATCATTGGCAGTGGTTAGCAAATCATAGTTGACTTTACCCTCCTTGAGAACTTCGATATTTTCTGTTTCAAATTCATGTAAAAAGTCAATAAAACTTTGAAATTTTGTCAGGGGGACGTTTTCACAAGCTAACCAGTGTACAGATTTCAACAAGGCGACAACTGCCTTATCTTGTTTTGCTGTCATACGTGCATGTGCTACCTGCAAATCTTCACGAAGTTACGGAGTCTGAATTGACAATTTATGATCATTATTATTTATATGCCTGGTTAAGGTACTATTTTGGAAATTTCTGCACTTAGCGTTACGTGTCATGCCATTTGTTTTACCATTTTCGGTGCATATTTAAGCTTGCAATACATGAAGTCGCTTTCCCTTATCGTATATCAACCACGAGCCGTGTGCAGTTAGCCAATTTGACTGGAATGTTCTTACTTTCCGTTTTCTGACAGGTTCATTGGCTGTGCTCGCCGTGCTCAGTTTCACTTGTCTCAATCGTATCATTCTGACCAAACATCGATGACAAAGTTTTTTGAGAATGTGACAGCTTTGCTACCTTTCTCGGCGGCATGTCGACTGCTAGAGAAATTATCAACAAGAGAAACCGAAGTCATATACAAGCTTGCTTACGATTGGTCACTTGCTTATTGACAACCGCTACGCCTATGTCAATCAGTGGCATCCGAACCGTTGAAACGTCTTCCAATTCGCATGTTGTTGTAGTATCTGCCTCGGTACAATAACACGAAGTAGAGTCAAAGTATGGCATTTATGATATATGTATCCATTCTCTGTCAACTAAAGTCGTTTCAAGGCATCAATAGCGGTAATCTGACCGTGGTTGCTGTTAATAATTCCGATTGCTTCACACACGATTTTGCCGAAATTAATAAAAACAATATTAAAAGGAATTTTGAATAAAGTTAATGAAATAAGTTACAAATATAAGTCCAGATACACAATGAACACTTTTTATTGCCAGACAGTGTTATGACATGATTAATTTGAGTACTTCAGTATGGATTTGTTGACATGGTATTTCCGCTGTTATGTGCTCACGGTAATGTAAAACGTCAAAACTCATTATGGCGTATAATGCGCAACCTCTTCTACACAGCTGTGTTTTTTGGAAAAAAGATATGCACTAAACTCAAGAAAATAATATGAATTATTTCTTCACACTCACAGCACGCAACTTCTGATTTGATCCACTGCCTGTTTTCTGGCTAGATCTATAGTGGCGTATTCCATGTAAATATCTGCAAGCCCTTTCAGTTGGATGTAGGGTCCACTGTCCCCAAATGTTGCTGTGTTGTCGACATATTTTTGGATTCAGACTAAACTCTTGCTCCAGTGTTTTTGGTTAATGCCCATTTATGCTTAACTTTCGTGACAATGCTGCAAAATATCTCTGGCCAAGATCTATAACTTTAAGATCAAGGCCCCCCTAGCCACATTCCAATGTTCGGGTTTGAAATAATGACTTGTTTTAAAATGTAAGACATATGCTCACTTGAAAGAGTCTGTCAAATAAACCTTACTTGTAGAATAAGTTCACACAGTTTGTTGTTGTTAAAAATGTGCTGACTTACAAAACGTTTAGTTTTCTTTTCGTAGTCATGAGAGCTAGTGACTTTGACTTTGAGTGACTCTGACGGCCATGTCGACCAAGAGAAACTGGCCAACAGTTTGAACTACACATGTTCGAATATTGTATTAACAATAATGCCAAGTCATTTTTTATTTAAATAGTTGTGCTATAATACATGAATTAAAATGTATATTAATTGCCCAAAGTCATTTTATTGCTTAAATTGTCGAAGAATTAAGGCCGCTCAAAGAAACTATTTCGTATTCGTAGAATCTAAGTGTTGAGTGAAGACTGTGTGTGATCAGGTAAAATTCCACGAATTCAATGCCATTTCACATGTATATGAATATTATGAAATGCAACCTCACCTCTGTTTTGAGAGTAAACTGTTTCTTGTCTTTTTAGCTTCTTATTTTAAAACTTGATGATGAGTAATAAAATCAATAAACTACTCGTGACAAGGGATGGTGGGTTATCCCTCGTGAAATTAATGTTGAAAGTTCCTGAAACTTACAATATGTCTTTCAATTGGGACAGATAATCCATCATTCCATGTCACTCGGAAATTATCATCTACCGGGTATATCATTAGTGTGCACCAGTCTGACGAGTTTCACCTGGTAGCAAGAGGACTCAATTAATTCGCTGTTTAAGGAAATTTTCTTTCATTCTCTTTTTGAGTACTGTCAATATAGTTTACAGTTGTCACAAACAAGCCATCCCCTTCACTGCCAGCGACATGGGCAATGAAATTTACGTATACCTTGAAATTTTGTGTTGGTTCCAGGCCTGGTAATAATTTTTCAAATGGTTTGTTTTCTTACCCACATTGACTGCTTCCGTGGTCAACTGGTAGAGCGTCAGCCAGGAGAGCGGAAGGTTGGGGGTTCAATCCCCGGCCGCGTCATACCAAAAGACGTTAAAAGATGGTAATTGTTGTTTACCTGTCTGGCAATCAGCATTTAGGGGCTAAAACAAGGACTGGTCGGCTCGGAGTCAGTATACTGTGTCTGAGTGGGGTATTCATGTTAAACTGCAGCATGGTATCTCAGTGTGCTGGCACTATAAAAACGGCATCAGTCCAGACTAGTACAAGCAGCCACACACACACACACACACACACACATGCATGCACGTCGCTATATAGGTGCAATAATCTTGGATGCGATGTTTAATCTTGTTTCACCTCACCTCACCTCACTTTTGTCAACATTCTCTCATTGGTTTCCAACTGTTGCTTTCCCAGTGACATTGCCAGAATGTTACGTATCAAGTCATTGTGCATGATTTAAAGTAACTTTGTTTACTTCCTAATCATAGCATATCACAAACATGCAGTTTCAAACTTTTTCATATCCCCAAACTGACAATCTTCGAATTCACACTAGTCCACAAGCCCAAGATTACTTAATTGTATATCTCCAATATTCTCATTAACCAGTAACATTTGAGGTTTATTATTCTGAACCAGTTCTCATGGCTATACTGACAGAAACTGTACACATGTTTGTCTTGTCAAGCAGGACTACAAACTGTCATGCAGTGTTATGAGTAAAACCATCTTCCTGAGGCAAGGGAGTTAACTGACTTTAAGACTCCAGTTTCCACCCTTGCCAAACAAGACTGAAATTATGGAGTTATTTTTATGCTGGACTAACAAGTCTATGCACAGTTCAATCAAAATCCCATAATGAAATCGACATCCAGTTCATATCATAAAGCAGTATTCTCAAGCTCCACGGCACTAGTTCCCAAATGGTGACTTCTATTCCAGACTATGCTTTTAAAAATATTTGTCAAATTTCTCTATTCAAAATTTGAAAATTCTGGAATGTCAAATAGATGGCCAAGATTGTAAAGGAGTACTTTTTCCTAGAACTATGGAAAGTTTCCGTTTCATTGATTGACCCATTGGAACCAGAGATCGACAATGTCTTGCATTTTGAATCAGTCCGTATCTGTCCTTCCGATTGACCTGTGTCAATGTTGTTGTGGTTTCATCATTAGAAAACGCATAAGGACTTTCACTTTAGCAATCTAGTAAGTGATGCTCTGATTGATCAAACCAGAGGTTGTTCTGACGTGACCTGTAATGTGATGTCCTCAGATCTTTGTGTGTAGCAGCAGCGAGCACTAAGATCTGATTTTAATGAGATTAGGTACCGGTAACCCTTGGGAACATTTTCCAAACAATTCAAGGGAAATTATCTGTTGACGCATGGGTGCCTCTAGTAAATGCCAGGCACATTGTTATACAGTTGTGATCTCCAATTTCAGGCTCTTCGCAGACTTCTAATGACATGGTGACAGTGCTGGCAGCTGTGTTAGGGGCCATGTTGGGCCTGGGTCTCATCGTTTTTGCCGTGTTTTTCTACTGGAAAAAGCATCTTACAGGTCAGTAGAACAAGAAACATCAGTGAAACCGCATTATGTGCCAGATGAATTCATCGTTTGTTTGAACAGATTGGTAATGAGATCGCAGACTAATGAAAAAGAACCCAACATTCCCCTTACAGTCTTACAATACTATTTAGATGATATTTGAAATAGAAATTCAAATTGACCAAGAAACCAAACACTTTTGCTGAGTGAATGGTAATGGATGTCATGACAGTTACTATTTGTTCGTAAACATTACCGTGAGTCGGGTGCGAGCTCAACTCAGTGCATGGTTGTAGGGAAGTAGGCAGGGAAGTAGGCAGCAGTGACTGGTGACAGTGATAGTATAAAGTGCTCCGCAATCTCTGTGAGGGATTTGGATTATATTGGAAAAGGGAAGTCACTCTAATTGCACACTAGAACTATCTCTGTTCTTTTTATATGGAATTCCTGTAATAACTATATATGCCCTTGCACTATTATGGCCATCAATCAGTCCTTTCCGAGGACATTTATGTGTGTGCCCTATAACCTGAAAACTACTGCATAGATTTTTTTATAACTTAGGAGAGGTGGAGTGCAAACTTTGATTGTAATATTTAGATGTTCTGAAAAAATACAGATATTTTTTGTTTAAACATTTGTGCGACCTATAACTTGAAAATAACTGCATGGATTTTTTATTTATTTCGGGAACAGTTTCCATACTAATAGAAAAGGTGCAGTGCAAAGTTTGATAGTAATATGTAGATTTTCTGAAAAACTATGAATTTTTACATGTTTGGAATTTATTTTACTTCAACATTTGTGCTTATAACTTGAACACTGCTTCATGGATTCTTTTCCAATTGAGGGTACAATTTCTATACCAATAGGAGAGAAAGATCCCTTCTCAAACCACAGATAATACAGTTTTACCAAAACACCAACATACTACTTTTCTATTCCCTAACTAGCTTTGTAATAAGTGTTGTACATGGTATATATTCATTATTGAATCAGCACCTTGTCTTATCCTTCGGTAATTCTTGATTTCTTTATGTTTAACTAATGCTGTTACGGCAAGATTCACAATTGTGAGTTATAAGTGTAAATGGTTGAAGTGTGAAGCTATGATCTCTGCATCTTGTTACAATCCTTGTCTCTGCCAAGTGAAAAATTATCTCTAATGACTAAGTGATTCAAGAATGATGATTTCAGGGTTGTTTAATTCTGTTTCAGGAAATGGACTCATCAGCGACAACAAGCCAGCAAATATTAACAATCTTAAGGGAGGTAACACGCCATCAGGTAATAGTTTAATACTGTTTTAAGCAATTATATGTACTTGGATTTAAGAAAGTGAGGTAAAACCTCAACTCACTCACAAACCCATGTTAAAGACTTGGCTGGATCATTGACTTATCACAGAAGAAACTAGAGCCACCGTTCAGACACTTGACTCCTACTATTGGACATTATGTTCTTGGAATGTAATGTTTCCTTAATGTGGGAGGACATGTCATATTCCATGCAGAGATTGGGTTGTTGGCTGTTCAGAGCTCTATTGGTTTGGTTTGAGAATTGAATAGTGCATGGACTAAAGGTGTGACGTCACACTTGGAAAATATTTCTTGCATGATGTTAAAAACACGCAGAACCGTTTACGTACTGGCCCTTTATTCCACATTTATTTAGGATATCAGGATATCTCTTGGTCCATGTTATAAACTGATACAACTCTTCCTGCAGTCAAGCATGTGGAAAAATGGCCTGTTTGACATTGTCCCTGTGCCTTTGGTCATCTTTTCAAACATTTGTGAACTGTGTTTTTGTGTTTCAGTCTTTCCGAGGAAGAAGGTGTATTTGCTGTATGCTGAAGATCATAAAGATCACATGAATGTCATCACCAGTTTTGCCTTCTATCTGAAAGACCAGTGTTCCTGTGATGTGTTCTATTTGCCCTGGTTCAAAGGGGCATTCCATTCTATGGGCACCTACCAGTGGATCATATCACACATTGACAAGGCAGACTACGTCATTGTCATCAGCTCAGAGGCAGCTTTCAAACTCCTGGATGCTCGGAATACTAACACGTCTTTGCGAACAGAAGATGAAGGTCCAGGAGGTGACATCTTCTCTCCAGCCATAACCCATGTCATGACAAAATCATGCGAGCCGGATTTCTACAAGAAAACCATCCTTGCCTACTTTGACTACACCAGTGAGGATTTTGTTTTGAAGGAAGTGAGCCCCGGGGTCTCTTATAAGTTGCCCAAACACTTCAAGGACTTATTGTGTCACATCCATGAAGTTGATGTGTTTGACCAGACTCACAGACAGCCAAACACAGACGCTATGGAGAACCTACAAGCCACTCGAAGTGGCCAAAGTTTCCAAGAGGCCATGACAAAAGCCCGTCACTTCCAGAAATCAGACCCACTGTGGTTTGATAAGAGGTTCTATCGACAAGATTCAGCCTATGAATCCGATCCTGATGGTCACTTTGATTCAGTGTCACTGACTCCGAGTCCTGGCATCATGGTCAGAGATCCTATGATTGACACACAGCACCTCAGTGTTGGTACTCACACGGACAGTGTGGTGACCTACAACACCGAGTACATCCGAGAACATGAAGACATGAACATGATTCCCCCGAGTGAAGTACCAACTGACACGCCTACCGAAGTCGTCAACAAACAGTTGGAAAACATCAACAACAACAACAACAACATCAACTACACCCATCCAGGAAATGCTACCCAGTATGAGTTCTATCCCAAGGACATGTTTGCTCCAAGTGAAATACAGACAGATGTGGATCTAGATAGATGCTTCCTTGCCATCAACATGAGAGAATGTACAGAGTCTGTTGAACAGGGGAGACTCAACATCCCGCTAGACAATCCCATTGCCTATGATGACGTTGCAAGCGGTATTGATGTTTGATGGATGACCTTGTAAGGCCCCTGTTGTCTTGACAATACTATCGCAGTCCCATCTACTTCTGTGTTCATATTTCACGTGTGTTGAACTCAAATGTTCAATCAAATGTTGAAAATGATATTAATTCCCATATGTTGAAACATGCATGTTCAATCATGTTGAAAATCATATTATTCCCATTTGTTGAAACACATACGTTCACTCACAGTGAAAATCATATTATCATCCAAAATGCCTCCCACAGGAGATATCGCTGGGGTGAGATCAATGAAATTGCATCACAATGCTCTGCAGACCATTGTGACATCATTGGTTACCATTATGTCACAATCAAAAGACATCACTAATGGCTCTGCTACTGAGGCTGTTAGCATTTCTTTTCACACTTAAGACACTGCTTATTACTGTCTACAAACTGAAAAAGTTGGAAGAATGATGTTTGATGATAAATAAAATCTCACCCTTGTGTCTTTTTGATAAAAGTGGAAAAACTCCTCGACAAGCCTCAGAGTTTTTCCACTTTTATCAACTCTTATTGATATATTTGATATTAAAAGACACTCGGGTGAGATTCTCCATTTAATTCCCATATATTGAAGCACATATTCAATCATGTTTGATAGTTCCATGGCCACGTCCCAACAGTTGGAGGCGTTAACTATTTATGACATTAATGTTATCGTTGCTGAATGTTCGTGCTTTGGGACAGCTGACGTAACCTCTGATGTATATGCTGGTTCCTGTTTGTAATGAGATGGATGAATGAGTTGAAAAGAAAGACCTAGGCCTGTCAACATGCTATGTTTTTCCGAATGTTTTGATACATACTTTTGAAATACTACTGCTAGGCATTTGAGATTTGAAATGCTGGGCAGAGCCAGGACCTGTTCTTAATTGACAGATGGATGCCATCCATTGCAATAAACTGTAAATCTTGAAATTAATGCGTCTCCAACTTAATACGACTGCTGACCCCAAAACCAAAAATGCGACTCAATATCAATGGGACTCCCCCCACCCCATCCCCAGTGCATACATATCCTTACCTTAATCCAACCTTACCTTATCCAATCAAACCACAGAGTAGAGCACATCCGTAAAATAATAAACAGTGTTTTCCATAAAACAACACACAGTCCATATGTTTGTTCTGTTGACTGGCGTTCAAAGGCAATAAAATATTTGAACCAACAGTTCACTGATTGGTATGTGGAGAAGGTGTCAGCAAACTAGAAGGCAGCCTTCAAGACAAAGGCTGTAGATCTGAGGAGTGTGATGAAGCCTGTCGGTGTGCGTTGGGCCGTGTCGGCCTTTAAGGCAGTGTTCCGTGGGTGGCATCTGTCTGGACTGCTGTAGTACTCAGTGATGCCTAGTTTGACATGAGTTTGTAGAATTTTTTACCCCAGCAGTGATAACTTACCAGATTCCTATTGTGAAAGTCCTATGACATTGTTTTAATCTTGTTACAACTGTTGCTCAATAAACAGTGTTTGTGTTTATATTCAAGTTGGTATTTCCGCTATCCAAAGTGTACAGTGATGCCAACGTATTGTTGATATTTTAGACATAAAAATGCAAAGATTAATTTATGCGAACAAAGACCACTCTCATTTTTTGCATTAAATTCATGCTCCCTTTAATTTCAAGATTTACGGTATTAAAGTTTTGATGAATTATGTATTGCATGGTGATTGTTTTGTCAAGTTATCGTCATGCTAGTATTATTTCTAAGGGATAATTTTCTGCTAAAAAACATGAAACATAGCTGTGTTCTAATGTAGCAGTGTAATGTCTCCAACAACTAGAAACTGAACATCTATGGGTTCATTCCATTACACAGCAACGGCGCCAGAGATAATAAATAAATAATAATAATAAATAAAAATTGTGTAGATCAATATTATTTTTTTGGTCATGAAGTTGTTTGGCTTGATGGCAATGAAAATAAAATCTAGAAATAGAAATATAGAATCTTATCCTGTTTAAGGTGCTGATTTTTTTATATTTGCAGTGAAATGTGCATGTATGTACCATGTTTATACATAAAAGGTTTTGTTATTTTCAAAATGGCATCAGGGGTATCAAACAATGAATTTGATTCAGCTTGTATGAAAAGGATTGATAGTTTCTTTAGTTCTGTATTGTTATTGAAGTTGGTTCTTTTAAGTTTTTATAAATATCCAACAAAAATGGAGGGGCTAAGAAGTAAGTTGTATGTGTTTTTATTGTATTTTCGGACTGTGTTTTTGGTTACAGTTGGTCAAATCCATGAAAAATGGAAACCGTGGCCTTTGTATTGTCTGTTGGAATTGTGGTCAGTGGTGATGCATAAACATTCACATAGCTTCATGTAGAACACACAATATGTTGCTCCCTCTGTGCCCTCTTCTCCCCTCTGTTTAGGCGGATAATCTAGACTGGTTATTCTCTTGCATTGACAATTTATATTTACATACTACATAAGGTCCCAGATTTTTATGAATAATACTGTGATAGAAATTTTTCCCAAACTGGTCCTTCTAGAATGTACTTTTTACCATGTTGAAACACTGTCCTTAATGTACATTTTACCATGTTGAAACACTGTCCTTAATGTACATTTTACCTTGTTGAAACACTGTCCTTAATGTACATTTTACCATGTTGAAACACTGTCCTTAATGTACATTTAACCATGTTGAAAGACGGACCTTAATTTACTTTTTACCATGGTAAAACAATGGCCTTAATGTACAATTTTCCATGTTGAAACACTGTAATGTACTTTTTATCATGGTAAAACAATGTCCTTAATGTATATTTTTCCATGTTGAAACTCCTTAATACACTTTTTACCATGTTGAAACTGGTCCTTTATGTACTTTTAACCTTTTTGTGTTCTACGGAACTGTCTTTGACCAACCATTGTGTCATTTACAGATGCATTTTGAAGTTGTTTTGATAAAGATGAATTCACTCATAGGTATTGAAAAGAGTGTTACACTTTCTGATATGGGTATTATTTTTTTGCCTAGTTCTTTAACTGTGTCAGTTATATAATCTAAAGTATGATAATTTTGATACAATATTTACTGTGATAATACGTATCCATGGGAACCATATAAGTCAGTGTTTTACTTTTAGTGGCTACAAACTGTTTCAACAACAAAAAGACAATGTACCTGTGGATTTGAAAAATGCTAGCTGATCATCTATCTTCGTCTTTCATCAGGCTATGATGTTGCTTGAGGAGCAGTTGATTAATCTCTGGTAGCATCTTCCTGAGACAAGGGCGTTAACTGACTGTAAAAGTCCAGTTTTCACCCTTGCCAAACTAGGCTGGAATGTTCAGACTCGATCGTATACACCATCAGTGGCTATTACGAGTTATGTCCCTTCTATGTCCCTCCTATTGACCAACTGATTCAATCTCTGATATGACTTGCATTTGCTTCAACCAAAATGGCGGCACCCAGTCAAGACGTTCTGATCGATATTCAAAAGCTCTATTGTAATAAAACATGTCTTACGTCGCGAAGTGCCTCAGATCATTGGAGCACCTTGATTAAAAACATGTAAAGATTTGCAAATATCTGTCAATGCCCAGTTGACAGTACACATGCTTTGCAAATCCTTCAGTCAATTGAAACCAGCACCTTGAATTCCTTGTTGTTACACGAACCAGATATCTAGTTCGTTACACAATTTTGATTGGACATGCATAGACTCGTTAATCCAGCCAAAATGTAATTCCAAAATTCCAGCCTAGTTCAGCTCTGATTGTGAAATCGGCAACATCATCAGCAGCAGCAAGGGTGGAAACTGGACTTTTGTAGTCAGTTAATGCCCTTGCCTCAGGAAGATGCTCTGGTAGATCTGCTGAATAATCACCAATAAAATATCACTTGTATGTCATTCAGTTATTGCAGAGGAAGCTTCCATATTAATGTGTAGCATGTAGGGCTGGGACGAGTCCAAATTTACTACCCGGGTACCCGACACCCTATTACCAGGCCCTACCCAGATACCCGCTATAGGTCTAAAGAGTTGGGTACTAAATGTCTGAATGGGAATTGTTTTACCGTAGCCCTGGCAAAAACTATTTAGATACATGATCATGTATACACTGCAGTTGATAGACCCTTTATCCTTACTCGAACATATAAAAGTCAGTCCTACTCAGGACCCACCCGACGAGAGTGTCCAAGTTACCCGTCCCAGCCCTAGTAGCATGACATTCATCATGTTGCATTATCTGTTCACTGTCACACACACAGTTAATAGTGAACTGAGGTTGTAAAATATTTAATCAAATCAAACGAAACCTTCAACCACTCGAGTATTTGTACATGTTTTTAAACATTGTTATTCCGTTGTGTTTTCTTGTATGAAGCTAATTGTTGATAATACACAAAACACCTTCCACACATGCCTGGTGCACATATTTTAAGATGTTCACATTCATGAAAAATAAAAGCAATATGCAAAGTAAAATTTGAGAAAATTCCAGAAATGCCAACATATTGTATATTGACACTGAGTTGGACTTGTCGCTTGCACCTTCTTCCAAGGAAATGTTTTGAAACCACAACTAAAAGCAGATATCTTGCCAGTATATTTACAATAAAATTTCATTTTGTAGCAGATTGTCTCAAGTATTTACTCTCATCCTATATTTTATTCAATGTATGTATACTATTTTACTGTTTGTTATACCTGACTGAGATCAAAAGGAATTTTGTTGTTTAGAATTGTATATATAGATCATGAATGTCGATTGTCCGATGTCTTTTACCCATGTTGTACACCATATTGGATACCTGCAATTGTTGACATAATGCTAAGCATTATTTGATATTAACCTACATGTAACTCATGCCTGACCCTATTAATGCTGCTGTCTAGGTAGTTATTGCACACCTTGACCTCATGTAGGTCAACATATGTAAGGCAAGCATTCTATATTACAGCATCCCTTAATGCTGCGACCGCCTCCATGGTCTAGTGGTAGAGCGTCCGCCCGGAGAGCGGAAGGTCCGGGGTTCGATCCCCGACCGCGTCATACCAAAAGACATTAAAAGATGGTACTTGTTGTTACCCTGTTTGGCGCTCGGCATTAAGGGGCTAAAACAAGGACTGGTCGCTCGGAGTCAGTATACTGTGTCTGAGTTGGGTATTCATGTTAAACTGCAGCATGGTATCTCAGTGAGCTAGCACTATAAATCGGCATCAGTCCAGCCTAGTACAAGCAGCCACACAAACACACACACATACATGCACGTCGCTATATAAGTGCAATAATCTTGGACGCGACGTTAAACCCCATTTCACCTCACCTCACCCTTAATGCTGCTGTCTAGGTAGTTATTGCACACCTTGACCTCATGTAGGTCAACACTTGTAAGGCAAGCATTCTATATTGCAGCATCCCTACATGCTGCTGTCTAGGTAGTTATTGCACACCTTCACCTCATGTAGGTCAACACTTGTAAGGCAAGCATTCTATATTACAGCATCCCTACATGCTGCTGTCTAGGTAGTTATTGCACACCTTGACCTCATGTAGGTCAACACATGTAAGGCAAGCATTCTATATTGCAGCATCCCTACATGCTGCTGTCTAGGTAGTTATTGCACACCTTGACCTCATGTAGGTCAACACATGTAAGTCAAGCATTCTATATTGCAGCATCCCTTCATGCTGCTGTCTAGGTAGTTATTGCACACCTTGACCTCATGTAGGTCAACACTTGTAAGGCAAGCATTCTATATTGCAGCATCCCTTCATGCTGCTGTCTAGGTAGTTATTGCACACCTTGACCTCATGTAGGTCAACACTTGTAAGGCAAGCATTCTATATTACAGCATCCCTACATGCTGCTGTCTAGGTAGTTATTGCACACCTTGACCTCATGTAGGTCAACACTTGTAAGGCAAGCATTCTATATTGCAGCATCCCTTCATGCTGCTGTCTAGGTAGTTATTGCACACCTTGACCTCATGTAGGTCAACACTTGTAAGGCAAGCATTCTATATTACAGCATCCCTACATGCTGCTGTCTAGGTAGTTATTGCACACCTTGACCTCATGTAGGTCAACACTTGTAAGGCAAGCATTCTATATTGCAGCATCCCTTCATGCTGCTGTCTAGGTAGTTATTGCACACCTTGACCTCATGTAGGTCAACACTTGTAAGGCAAGCATTCTATATTGCAGCATCCCTTCATGCTGCTGTCTAGGTAGTTATTGCACACCTTGACCTCATGTAGGTCAACACTTGTAAGGCAAGCATTCTATATTACAGCATCCCTACATGCTGCTGTCTAGGTAGTTATTGCACACCTTGACCTCATGTAGGTCAACACTTGTAAGGCAAGCATTCTATATTGCAGCATCCCTTCATGCTGCTGTCTAGGTAGTTATTGCACACCTTCACCTCATGTAGGTCAACACTTGTAAGGCAAGCATTCTATATTGCAGCATCCCTTCATGCTGCTGTCTAGGTAGTTATTGCACACCTTGACCTCATGTAGGTCAACACTTGTAAGGCAAGCATTCTATATTACAGCATCCCTACATGCTGCTGTCTAGGTAGTTATTGCACACCTTGACCTCATGTAGGTCAACACATGTAAGTCAAGCATTCTATATTGCAGCATCCCTACATGCTGCTGTCTAGGTAGTTATTGCACACCTTGACCTCATGTAGGTCAACACATGTAAGGCAAGCATTCTATATTGCAGCATCCCTTCATGCTGCTGTCTAGGTAGTTATTGCACACCTTCACCTCATGTAGGTCAACACTTGTAAGGCAAGCATTCTATATTGCAGCATCCCTTCATGCTGCTGTCTAGGTAGTTATTGCACACCTTGACCTCATGTAGGTCAACACATGTAAGGCAAGCATTCTATATTGCAGCATCCCTTCATGCTGCTGTCTAGGTAGTTATTGCACACCTTGACCTCATGTAGGTCAACACATGTAAGGCAAGCATTCTATATTGCAGCATCCCTTCATGCTGCTGTCTAGGTAGTTATTGCACACCTTGACCTCATGTAGGTCAACACTTGTAAAGCAAGCATTCTATATTGCAGCATCCCTTCATGCTGCTGTCTAGGTAGTTATTGCACACCTTGACCTCATGTAGGTCAACACTTGTAAAGCAAGCATTCTATATTGCAGCATCCCTACATGCTGCTGTCTAGGTAGTTATTGCACACCTTGACCTCATGTAGGTCAACACATGTAAGGCAAGCATTCTATATTGCAGCATCCCTTCATGCTGCTGTCTAGGTAGTTATTGCACAAGATCAATATCAAGATATTTTTAAACATAATTCTGTAACTTTTGCTGAGGTAAAGCTTTTTTAAAGATTTGGTTTTCGGATTTCACCAACCCGAAACCATGTAAACATATTAGTGGTGGTATAAAAGCAATCTGAAAACTCCTAGTTTTTTTGTTCTAATGAATGCCAATGTAGACGACAAAATGAAGAGTGTATGAAAGGTTTGACTACAAGTATGTTACAATATGTTATTTAAGAGACACATCTTATAATAATAATTATCCATTTATTTGGCGCTGTACTCCATGCTTAAGCATGCTCTAAGTGCTTAGACATTTATTACCCCAGTCAATGGATCAATGTGCAATCATTCTCAGCTCCCTGGGGAGTATACAACCCAAGCTGCCTGTTAGGAACTAGAAAGTTAACAACCGCATTACTACATCTAGAATAGTTTATGGAAGCTTATTTGTAAAAAACACATCTTTTGTATGTTACAGTAGGTTACATGACCATTTCTTTCGTGTTTATTGTCATGAGAACTGGCAATAGAGGTACAGGAGTGTGTGTATTTTTATAGACATTTTGAAGTTGGTAGTAGAAAGAGACCAAATATTTCCGGTGATGAAGGGGTTAGACATAACCTCAGTTTATGAATAAATAATACTGCATTTGAAATCCACTTGTTTTTCCGGCTATCTGAGTCTTATGGTGGTGGACCATAGATCTGATGGCCATTGCTATTGGTCGATGACTATATGCTATTGTTTGTGGTAACTGTTAAATTCTGATATCATCAATTGTGATGTTATGAAGGTTACACGTCATTGTTAAATGTCACATTGTTGATGCTTAAAAATCTCCAAATGATGTACTTAAGTGAGTGAGTGAATTGGGTTTAACGCACTGACTTTAATCTCAGATTTGTCCTGCGCCATATTGTCAGCACCATACCCCTGCTCCTGGGTTTCACCGAAGTGGTAAGCATCTAAGACCTGCATCACTTAGGGCCTTCCTCCCACATCAAGCTGTTGAAAGTGGGGTTAGACCCAAATGACCCACTGACTTTAATCCCAGATTTGCCCTGCGCCATATTGTCGGCACCACACCCCTGCTCCTGGGTTTCACTGAAGTGCTAAGCATCTAAGACCTGCATACACATTCAGCTGCTGAAAGTGGTATTAGACCCAAATGACCCACCAACTTTAGTCCAGATTTTCCCTGTACAATATTATTAGCACCATATTGTCGGCACCATCCCCCTGTTCCTGGGTTTCACCGAAGTGGTAAACATCTAAGACCTGCATCACAGGCTTTCCTCCCATATCAAGCTGACACACCATTATATAACTGAACAACTGTTCTAAGCTGAACAGGACCTGACCATCATCATGGTGTCCATCCAGTGACAGTCACTGTTAACAAACCCAAGTACAGTCAGTATTATCATTGAGGACTTGGCAGCACTTAATATTCATTTGATATTTGTGTCCGTACTTCACCCTTGTGACTGGTTCATAGTGGTCATACAGTTTAATATCATACTGACACATGTAAAAAAATATTTTTATGAATAATGTAATTAAAATTTGAAAATCAATTTAACTTTTGCTTTATTTGTAACTGCTGTGAGGAGTGTCTTCTCACCTGTGACCACCTCCCTGGTCTAGTGGTAGGGAGTCCACCAGGAGAGCGGAAGGTCTGAGGTTCGATCCTCTCGGCGTCATACTAAAGTTATGGGCTAGTTACTCTGTCTGGCGCTCAGCATTAATGGAATAAAACAAGGACTGGTCGGCTCGGAGTCAGTATACTGTGTCTGAGTGGAGTATTAATGTTCAAATGCGGCATGGTATCCCAGTGGGCTAGCACTATAAATCGGCACCAGAACAGACTAGTACAAGCACACGCGCACGCACGCACGCAAGCGCACACATTCTGACACACACAAAATTTCTGAATGATTTTTTTTTTCACCCTATAACAATTGAAACAATTGAAATACATAGACGATTCGACCTGTGAAGATCTCGGTTAGAATTGGTCTTCAGCAACCCATGCTGGCCCGCTAACTTGGTTGATGCATGTCATCATATCCCATGATATAAATCACTTGATTGTCTGGTCCAGACTCGATTATTTACAAACCGTCATATAGCTGGAATATTGCTGAGTGTGGGGTTAAACAACAAACAAACAAACAAACATAAAGGGTTTACCCAAATAGAACTTCACCCAATCTGACAGGCTGTTATCATAATTAACAATGGTGAATAGGACCTGTAATAGACCTATAGTACTCTATGTCCATTTTTCAAGATTCTTTGATCAGCATAAAAGGTCTGTGAATCAGGAAGATTAAACGTTAAGTAGTATAGGACTATCACAGTTCATTGATGCCAATCAGGATCACTTTATGGATGACAGCTATATTTCCACTGTTGCACCTTTATGGGCTCTACTCATCCCTAGCAGATGAAGCTGCTGCTGCTGCTAGTGTGTTGACACTGACACTGTTGGTCCTTGGACCACCTCCTTGGTCTAGTGGTAGAGCGTCCGCCTGGAGAGCGGAAGGGTCGGGGCTTGATCCCCGGCCGCGTCAAACCAAAAGATGTTAAAAGAGAATACTTCTTGTTATCCTGTCTGGCGCCCGACAGTAAGGGGCTAAAAGAGGAGTGGTTGGCTTGGGGTCAATATACTGTGTCTGAGTGGGGTATTCATGATGAACTGCCGCATGTTATCTCAGTGAGCTAGCACTATAAATTGGCATCAATCCGGACTAGCACGCACGCACGCACGCACGCACGCACGCACGTAGCTAAATGAGTGCAATAATCTTCGACGTTAAACCCCATTTCATCTCACCTCACCTATTGGTTCTTGCTATCCCCACTACAGCATTGTGACGGGCGAAGATTCCGGGTTAGACTAGGTCTCCAGCAATGCTTGCCGTAAAAGGCCACTATGCTTGTCGTAAAAGGCGACTAACGGGATCGGGTGGTCAGGCTAGCTGACATGGTTGATACATGTCATCGATCCCAATTGCGTGGATCGATGCTCATGATGTCAATCACTGGATTGTCTGGTCCAGACTCGATTATTATACAGACCGCCGTCATATAGCTGGAATATTGCTGAGTGCGGCGTTAAACAACAAACAAACAAACAAACACTACAGCATTGTTAACCAGGCCTCTGGCCAGTGAGCAGAGCAAATGCAAAATGATTGTTGGCTGATCGCACTAGAATGTCCAGCCAGGAGGACACATGCAGTAGGAAGCCTGAAGCATGTTGCCACTACACCACTCAGCCCCCCAACAATGCTGCACGAGTGAGTGAGTGAACGAGTAAGTTTGGTTTAATACCGCTTTTAGCAATATTCCAGCAATATCACGGCAGGGACACCAGAAATGTGTGTGTGTGTGTGTGTGTGTGTGTGTGTGTGTGTGTGAACCCCGAACTCTACTGTATGACATGCACACAGGACATGACCCACCCAGCCAACACTCCTGCATGACATACATAGTGTCTCGCCCCCCAATATTACATGACATGCTTGTCGTAAGAGGCGACTAACGGGATCGGGTGGTCAGACTCGCTGACTCGGTTGATGCATGTCGTCGTATCCAATTGCGTACATGGATGTCAATCAATGGATTGTTTGGTCCAGATTTGATATTTTACAGACCGCTGTCATATAGCTGGAATATTGCTGAGTGCGTCGTTAAATAACAAAAAAAAAAACAAATGATAGAGTGAGTGAGTGACTGAATTACGTTTTACTCCGCTTTGAACAAAATTCAAGTTATATCACGGCATGTCAGTATAATGTGGAATGAAAGCCCGAAGTGATGCAGGTCTCAGACGTTTACAACTCTGGTGAAACCCACGAACATGTGCACGGTGCTGACAAACCTAGAAACATAATCGGAGTGAACCGGATTTCTTCTGGCGAGACCAATGCAGGCAACGCTGTAACGTGAATACCGGCGCCTTTGACGACTGGACCCCCCCCCCCCCCCCAGACAGACGCACACACTATCCACTGACGCTTCACAGCTTTTAATCATGAAGAGTTGATGCTATGGGGATATCACATTCACTCGTGTAACTATTGTTACAAAAACCGGTGTCTCTCGATCTCGCTTGAAAAATAAACACAATACGCCACTCGTTTTGTAAAAGGAGGCTGACACACATTCGTATTGTCATCACTGGATTTATCATTTGATCCAAAATTAACAAATCTCTCTCTCACTACTCATTATCCATATGTTCCCCTTTTGTCTCTGACGCAACAAGAAAGCACTTGTAATTGACTCGAGTAAGGGGTTAACCCCACTATGATGTGGGATATCATTTGTTTTGTTTGTTTGTTGTTTAACGCCGCACTCAGCAATATTCCAGTTATATGACGGCGGTCTGTTAATAATCTTTCTGGACCAGACAATCCAGTGATTAATATCATGAGCATCGATCCACGCAATTGGAGTCGATGAAATGCATCAACTAAGTCATCGAGGCTGACCAACTGATCCCGTTAGTCGCCTCTTACGACAAGCATGGGTTGCTGACGACCTATTCTACCCCGGATCTTCACGGGTCATTTGTGAGTGCGGATGATGCAGATAGAATTAACATATCTGAATGTGAATGTTTTCTGTTGTTTGAAGCCCTGCATAGCTTTGTATGTTGGGTCCCTGTTAACAGTGGATATCCATGTAGGATGTTCTGACGTCTGGGTTGCCAGTACATGGTTTGTGCAGTAGGAAGTCACCTACCCCCCGTCTGAGAATATAGTGACATGCACTTCATGTCATGTATTTCAGAGGATTACAGTCTTAATAGAACCCGCTATACTTCTTAACTGCCAGGCAACAGAAAGAATACGTTATCAGAATGATACCAGGATGAAAACAGTCGCCGCAAAACTGCGCACTGAAGGACCAAAACACATCTATACGGTGGCCCATAAGGGACATGGAGTCTGTTTTTTCAATATTTTGATAAGTCACTTACTGTTATCGTAACCTTTTGCAAATTAACACGATTTGTCATACAAATATGTGATAAATCATGTATAAAGAAGATATTGAATCGCTGAAAACTGAAGCGAAAATGTTAAAAACTAAAATGAAAATGTCAAAAACAAAAACGAAAATGTCAAAAACGAAAATGAAAATGCAGAAAACCACCGCTTTTGTAACTTGTTTGATAGGCATTACTTAGAAGTTGGTGGATGACAAGATAGACACAATTTTATGGATAACAACTTCTTTAATACTGTAAAAAGCGACGTCAAGCAAGACAACGGTATAAGGATCTATACCGAAACGTCGCTTTTTACAGTATTAAAGAAGTTGTTATCCATAAAATTGTGTCTATCTTGTCACCGCTTTTGTTTTTGACATTTTCATTTTAGTTTTTGACATTTTCGTTTTTGTTTTTGGCCATTTTCAAATTAGTTTTTCACATTTTCGTTTCACTTTTCAGCGATTCAATATCTTCTTTACACATGATCTATCACATATTTGTATTTCAAATCGTGGTAATTTGCAAAAGGTAACGATAAAAGTAAGTGAAATATCAAAATATGGAAAAACAGACTCCATGTCCCTTATGGGCCACCGTAATTTTCGCTTATGTTTTTGACCTTTTCGTTTTTGTTTTTGACATTTTCATTTTAGTTTTTGACATTTTCGCTTCACATTTCAGCGATTCAATAGCTACTTGAAAGTACTGTTACATTTTCCATGTTTTCGGTTGTTTTTATACATGAATTATCACATATTTGTATGACAAATTGCGTTAATTTGCAAAAGGTTATACGATGAAAGTAAGTGAAATATGAAAAAAAATATTGAAAAACAGACTCCATGTCCCTTATGGGCCACCGTACATCTATGACGACCGTATGAAATACATCACCATCGAATAACCATTTCTTGTTTGTTTCATTCTAGCCACGTGCACCACCATGGGTGAATACCTTCTTTTGCCAGACAGTTTAGAATATTATGACACATCAATATTTGATGAGCGATAGCCGAAGAACTTGATTTATTTATCAAAACAAGTCAGTATTATTTTACATATGTTTATATAATGTTACATTCAATACCTTGCCAGTAACAACATCTACATAACATCTTTGATAGGCATTTAGAAGTTGGAAGAACATGAATACACGACACATTTTCATGGATAGCAACTTCTTTTATTCTTTGTACGACGTTTCAGAGCTACTTTGTGTTCCTTCATCAACAAGGGCCAAGACGTAGCTCTGAAACGTCGTACAAAGAAAAAAAGAAATTGCTATCCATAAAAAAGTTTCATTTAGTCAACATCTACATAAGTAATCCTTCAAATAGACTTCTGTTCGAATGCACAGGATGACAAGGAAATAAAACGGTCAGAGCAAAGTATTAAAGCACAAAATATTGTTCTTTTTCAACTTTGTGCTCACATTCTTCTTGTACAAGTATACACTATACACATTCAGCATGTATCTGAGCCTTATATCTCGCTGCACGGAAGGGGCATACACGATGCGTACTCTAGAGTAATGACAACTGCAGTAGTACACGAACAATGATTACAATACGGATGTCAATTATAATCAGTACTGGTGCTCTGTGCTGACGTCGTCCTGTAGTGATAAACACCTACATATTGGTGTCCTTGCGCATGGTCACTATTTACAGTGGTAACAATGGTGTAATAACCGGAGGGCCATATAATGTGAATATTCATTGGGCCCTAGAGTGAAGTATGATTACAATATTACATGAATCACAGATACGTGGACCAAACCGTGACGTGTCACGTCACCGTGACGTGTCACGTCATCATGGCTAAATATCATCGGCATGCAGTTGGTTGAAACCGACGCCCCTGAATGACCCCTAGCTAATTGCTCTGAAGTCAAATGTATAAATATGGCATAGCGTAGGACTTACTATGAATACATACCTGCTGAATCATATCTCTACCATCACTATTCTCCGTGAATATGTTTTACACACAAGTCTTGTCTTGTTGAGCGTCATTTGGATTTGATATTTTTTACTAAGAAATGTTTTTGTGACAGTGCAAAGGCACCCTTCCCAGGATGCACCTCCCAACACCGAGACATTGTCTCGAAGATTGGATCTCGTCTCATTTGCAATTCTGCGAGACCCCGGACCACACGTTTGTGTGTATGGAGTTCCAGCTGCGACACAATCTTGTCCCCAACTCTCCTCGGGCGCTTCATGATCAGTCTCTTGTGAACGAACTGGCCTGCAAGTACACATAGCTAGTTGGTGACGGGTACACATAGCTAGTTGGTGACGGGTACACATTGCTAGTTGGTGACGGGGTACACATAGCTAGTTGTGACGGGTACACATAGCTAGTTGGTGACGGGTACACATTGCTAGTTGGTGACGGGGTATACATAGCTACTTGGTGACGGGTACACATAGGTAGTTGGTGACGGGGTATACATAGCTAGTTGGTGACGGGTACATATAGTTAGGTGGTGACGGGGAACACATATGTAGTTGGTGACGGGTACACATAGCTAGTTGGTGACGGGTACATATTGCTAGTTGGTGACGGGTACACATAGCTAGTTGGTGACGGGGTACATATAGCTAGTTGGTGACGGGGTACACATAGCTAGTTGTTGACGGGTACACATAGCTAGTTGGTGACGGGTACACATACATTGTAGCTAGTTGGTGACGGGTACACATAGCTAGTTGGTGACGGGTACACATAGCTAGTTGCTGACGGATACATAAAGCCAGTTGATGACGGGTACACATAGCTAGTTGGTGATGGGTACACATAGCTAGTTGGTGACGGATACACATAGCTAGTTGATGACGGGTACACATAGCTAGTTGGTGACGGGTACACATAGCTAGTTGGTGACGGGTACACATAGCTAGTTGGTGACGGGTACACATTGCTAGTTGGTGACGGGTACACATAGCTAGTTGGTGATGGGTCACACACAGCTAGTTGGTGACGGGTACACATAGCTAGTTGGTGACGGGTACACAGTGCTAGTTGTTGACGGGTACACATAGCTAGTTGGTGATGGGTACACAGTGCTAGTTGGTCACGGGGTACGCATGGCTAGTTTGTCATGGGTCACACATAGCTAGTTTGTCACTGGGCACACATAGCTAGCTGCTTACAATGTACACATAGCTAGTTTGTAATGGGTCACACATAGCTAGTTTGTCATGGGTCACACATAGCTACTTTGTCATGGGGTGTACCTCGCTACATGAATAAGGTGGTCATGGGCTGTACATAGCTAAATTATTGAGATGGTCACAGTGTACATGTAGGTAGATTATTAAGGTGGTCACAGGGTACACATCTGTACATTCTTCAGGTGGTCACGGGGTACACATCTGTACATTCTTCAGGTGGTCACGGGGTACACATAAGAACACTATTTATGCGGCCATGGTGTACAGATGGGAACATTGGTTAGATGGTCACAGTGCACACATCGCTACATTATCAATGTGGTCACGGGGTAGTCATAGCTACACTATTTAGGTGGTCACGGGGAACATATGTCTACCCTGTTATGGTGGCCACTGGGTAAAAATAGCTACATTTATAAGATGGTCACGGGGTAGATATTGCAACATTATTGAGCTGTTTAAAGGGTACGCATTGCTAATTTATTAAGATGGTGACGGGATACAGATACGGGATACGTTATTTATATGGTCACGGGGTAGACATAGCTTTATGACAAAGTTAATGAAGTATTCTGACAACATTAATTAATACTCTATCACACCTACCCATCTTATAATATATGACTCATGAATGTCACGTACCAAGCAGCCCTGTGGTGTTTCTGGAAAGTTTCCCTTCTTTATCAAGCTCAATGTTGAGAAACTCCTCCCCAGCCCCAGAGTTGCTGGGGACATGCTTGAAGATGACGACACTGAAGCCTCCCTCAAGCCCGACCTTCACCGACCTCACGTTGTGCTGGCTGATGATGACAGCTTTGGGCATCTTGTGGAGAATGTCATCAGCCCACGTATGCCTCCACCTGTTCACCCTGATGTCATCTCGCGTCGCCGTCAGCGTCAGGCCGTCAAGAATGATGCCGACCTTGACAATGTATGTCCTTCCCGTGCTGTGGCCTCTGTTCACCTGGATGTTGATAGTCAAACCTGGAGAAAAGTCGTTAGAGTGAAGACAATATGGAACTGTTTCAGTGATACTACGACAATAGAACACGTTGTGGGAGGAAAGCTCAAAGTTAAGAAGGGCACGGTGTTATCCTCACAGACCATTGCCATAATCTGAGCACTATCTGGATTCTCCCATAGCCAGTTAAGCGTTACCTAAGCTTATTTACTTGGTCATCCATAATCAAGACTACTTTGGGATTCGAACTCACGACCAGAGGATCAACACAGAGAATGGCCAACCGTTCCCCATGATGGTATAGGCATACTATCAATAAAAATATGATTACTGTATTGTTTTATTCTTGCATGAAAGAGTGAGTGAGTGAGTGAGTGAGTGAGTGAGTGAGTATGGTTTTACGCTGCTTTTAGCAATATTCCAGCAATATCAAGGCGGGGGACACCAGAAATGGGCTTCACACATTGTACCCATTTGGGGAATCGAACCCGGGTCTTCGGCGTGACGAGCGAACGCTTTAACCACTAGGCTACCCGACCACCCTTACATGAAAGAAGTCCACATACGTACTTACACAAAACCCGATTAATCATCACATGGCTTATCTGCTATTATCACATAGCTTATCTGCTATTAGCACCGAGATTATCTGCTAACATTATATACAGGTATATTTTCTGCTATCGCAATATAGATTATCTGCTTACTCAAGCGTTATTCTCAAACATTTGCATCAATATTAATATGTCCCAAAATAATTACAAAAATATTATTATAATGAATATGATAAGCTCATTATAAACACGAGGCCACAATGAAGTACCGAGCAGCGGATCCTTGATGATCTGGAACACATCGTGCGGCTTGCCAGTGACGTCGAAACACAACTGATCATCTAGCCATGCCGTCTTCAGCATGAAGTGCGGGTCCCTCCCACCTGAAGAAAAACACAGAGTGAGTGAGTGAGTGAGTGAGTGAGTGAGTGAGTGAGTGAGTGAGTGAGTGAGTGAGAGAGTGAGTGAGTGAGTGAGTGAGTGAGTGAGTGAGTGAGTGAGTGAGTGAGTGAGTGAGCGAGCGAGCATGGTTTTTCGCCGCACTTAGCACTATTCCAATCACAGCAGGGGACACCATAAATGGGCTTCACACATTGTTCCCATGTGGGGAATCGAACCTAGGTCTTCGGCGTGAAGGGAGAACGCTCTAACCACTAGACCGATCCGGGGTAAAATATGTTTTCGACAACCCATGCTTGCCGTAAAAGGCGACTATGCTTGTCGTAAAAGGCGACTAACGGGATCGGGTGGTCAGGCTCGCTGACTCGGTTGATGCATGTCATCGTATCTCTTTTGCGTGGAACAATGCTCATGTTTTCAATCTCTGGATTGTCTGGTCCAGACTGGATTATTTACAGACCGCCGTCATATAGCTGGAATATTGCTGAGTGCGGCGTTAAACAACAAACAAACAAAACAAATGATATCCCACATCATAGTGGGGTTAACCCCTTCCACGAGTCCATTACAAGTGGTTCTTGTTGCGTCAGAGACAAAAGGGGAACATATGGATAATGAGTAGTGAGAGAGAGACTTGTTCATTTTGGATCAAATGATAATTAAAATGATAAAGGTGCAGCGTTAAACAACAAACCAAACTTTAACCACTAGGCTACCCCACCGCTCCGGAAGCACATGGTATCACGGAGATGGGGAGTTGTGGCCATTCCTATCAATATTCTACCAAAACATTTTAACGCAAAATTACTAAAAGATATAATGTGAGATAATTATAACGACAACACTAATCGCAACACAAATGTTAACCAACAGTTCAGTCATACGAGCACACTTAGAAGAGATTTCACACATTGTGCCAGAGCGGGGAATGTAACTCGGGTCTCATGGTTAACGGTCCAACTACCTATCGCATATAAATACTTACACATGTTGAAGTTACAGGCGATTAGGGATAAAATTATTACACGTGTATGCACGCCTACCTCTGCTACTCCAACCACCCCGGCCGCCCGCATCTGCAACATTTAAACATGAACGCCTACTTTTCGCTTTAGTAACATCAGTGAGTGAGTGAGTGAGTGAGTGAGTGAGTGAGTTTGATTTAACACCGCTTTTAACAATATTCCAGTTACATCACGGCGTGTACGTCAGCTTAATGTGGGGGAAAAGCCCGAAGTGATGCAGGTCTCAGACGTTTACCACTTCGGTGAAACCAACGAGCTCGGGTATGGTGCTGACAAACCTAGAAACATAATCGAGGCGAACCGGGATTCGACCCCACAATCATAAGTTTCTGGCGTGCCCAAGGGACGCAACTCTGCACAGCGAATCGCGGCGCGTTAGACGACTGGGCCACCCGTGCCCCCTTTTATGACAAAAAACACTAGAAAGAGATAAACGTTAAATCATTTTTGCATTTGCAGTCCCATCTATTCAATGATATTAATGCATCATACTGCAAAGTGATTTAAAGCAGTAAAAAACCTTAATGTTATCAAAAGACAATATTAGTCTCTGCTTTAAGAAATATTGGTTTACCCAAATATTTTGATTATGATTTCCAAATTTCTTTGATCGCTTTAGTTGATCGTAGAGTTTATTTTGCATGCATTTCAAGGAATGATGCTTCATTTAAATTATAGTATTTACGAAACAGTATGTGTTTAAAGCAGCGACGGTACCATCAAATAACCAGAACTAGGACATCTGTATACTTTTTTAGCTATTTATAAAAAAGTGTGTCATGAGTTCTAGTCTGACCCTCAGCTGCATCGCTTTCCTCCTGCAGGGGGCGCTCCTCAAGTACGTCACCATCGAACTGTATCACAACCATCGACGTCAGTGGGGTGACGAGATTATACTGCAAAAACACAGCAATAGCACGCATATATACCACCGTGTCGTGTACCCAATAAACAAAACAAGATTGTTGTATTGCCTATACTTTTATTCTTAATACTATTCACCCGTGGCGATTCCGGAGCAGAATACATTGGTCCTCACTACCCCATGTTCGTTATAGTCCCTCTGGGGATTCCTGGTTAGAACTGGTGTTAGAGGCGACCAAATGGATCGGGTGGTCAGACTCGGTGAGAGAGAGAGAGAGAGAGAGGGAGAGAGAGAGGGAGGGGGAGAGAGAGAGAGCGAGGGGAGGGAGAGAGAGAGAGAGAGAGAGAGAGAGAGAGAGAGAGAGAGAGAGAGAGAGAGAGAGATACCCGGGTACCACGATCACGTGGTTGAAATTCGACGTGTTCCTGATTGGATTCAGTGTGGCCGTATCTCCGATCATTGCATTCGGTATTAATAACGGGTTCATCTGTTTCCGATAATGTCCAAACCGACGTAATATAACTGCAATCACTTGATATGCATTCAAGTATATGTTCTCCAGTAGCATGTACACCCCAAACTCAACTGGCAACACCCGAAAAAGGATACATAATAACGACAAAAAGCCACAATCTGCAAAAAGCATTTCAGTCCATTATACTTTACCGCCTTAATCATAGGCTTGTGTTAACGACTTACTATTAAAAGAAAACGTCAGTGAACTATTAACGGCTCAAACACGGCACGTTTCCTATAATCTTTACAAAAAAAAGTTACCTTAAGGGACATTTCCACTGCCTTTTTCTTCAGAATTTCTTTTTGGCTTTGATCCATTGCACCTTCGTACTGTCTGATAAGATCCTTTATGGTCAGATACGCCCATATCTTTTCCGTTACCTCCTCGAAAGGTGTCATTTCAATTTCCCTGGCAGTTTCATCAGCTGGAATAAGTTCTTCTACACCGGCTTTGAGTTTTAAGTCGACAATTTCACCGTCATTGTTACCGCTGACAACAAGGGAGAGAACACCTACATCATCTTTGGCCAGTTGCCCAGCAACCACAACCTCAGAACCATTGAACAGATTTTTGAAGGACGATTTGGTCACCGTTGTCTCATTTGCTGCATCTTCTAAATATGTAAATTCTACTCCGCTTAGAATGGGAGTCGCGATTTCTTTGTAGAAATCAGTAATCTGAAGAGCAGCGTCCGATTCCTCGTAGATTCTTCTCCCCACGCCATTGTTCTGAATGGCGACTGTTTTCACGAACGACCAATCAGCGTCGTCCCCGAAGGCAAGGCTATAAATCGGAATCTCGTAGATGTTACGAGATCTAACGCTCGACAAGATAGCTTCATTACCAGTAACTCCCGTAGAAGCTTGTCCATCGGTCAAGAAAATTAAAAGTGACCTGTTTTCGCTTGCGTGCTGATTCATGAACTCTAAACCGTTGACCAGCGCTTCATAGATGTTTGTAGCTGAGGACAAGAGAGAAACAATGCTTTAGCGAAACAAATACGATATCCAATGCTTACATAGAATTATATGAATCACATTAATAAAGCTTTAATAAGTGTTGCCAGCCAGAATCTTTGATCGTGAATATCAAAATTCGAAAACGCCCTACATCGAATTGGTTTGTCCTCCCAATTCGACCTGACATGCCATGACAACCAAGACTACTGCTCACGTCTTTATAAAATGGGATACGTGGAAAGTGATTTGTGCAGTTACTGTTCTAAAGAGAACGAGTCTGTGTTTCACGTATTTTGGGAATGCGCCTGTGTTCGCCCTCTTTGGAACGATTTGAAAGTCTGGCTAAATACAAATATATCTGAGGAAATAGTTTTCCTGGGTTACACCCAAAGACACAATTCTCCTCTAAAAATAATGATAAATATATTAAAATATTACATATTTAATAAAAGAATACAACATAAAAAGCCAGATTTCAAAGACATCCAACGGAAGCTTTCCGACTATTACAACTGAACTAAATATGCAGCAACTTTGAATTCGAATGTTAACATGTTTAATAAGTTTTGGTCAAGCTGTCATTTACTATTTTAGAAAATGTAGAGACAAGTCTAATATGTATGCGCCACTTATGTAAAATGCAACAAAGACAATAAATTATAAAAAAAAGAACTACTGCTTATAGTGGCATTTCTTGTATTTTGAACGGTTTTGTGATCAAACCACAGGTTTATTTGGCTCTGTACACAGGTATAAACGACGCCATGCTTGCTGCAACATTATTGACAACTGTGTGAAAGCACATTCACACACGCCTTGGAAGTAATCTGCATATTGGAGCATGATCCTACCTCCATTAGAGTAAAGGTTAGTCACATAGTCAACAGCTGTTTTGACATTCTCATCGGACACAGAAAGCAGCTGGTTGTCCTGCCAGAAGTCCGCCTGGGTGTTGAACTCGAGGATGTTGAAGCGGTCGCCGACTCGAAGATCCTGCAGGATGCCTGTCATGGCGAGCTTAAGCTGTTGCATCTTCCGAATGGCCATGGACGAGCTTGTATCCAGAATGAAAAGAATGTCCTTCGACACAGCATTGTCAATCTTGGGTGCAAAGAAATGGACAAAATAACCGTTGACAACCTGAAACGAAATGATTGAACGTTTAACCACAGTCGTTATTACACCTTAATGAATACTTTCTAGACTTCAACCCAGGTAACATGATATTTCTTGCAGATTAATTATATTTGTATGTATTTATGTAGGTATGTATTTATACATATATATATATATATGTGTGTGTGTGTGTGTGTGTGTGTGTGTGTGCGTGTGCGTGCGTGCGTGCGTGCCAGCGTGCATGCGTGTGTGTGTGTGTGTGTGTGTGTGTGTGTGTGTGTGTGTGTGTGTGTGTGTGTGTGTGTGTGTGTGTGTGTTATAGTTTTAGAACACTATGTCACATACCGGGAGCTAGTTATTCAATACCTGAAGTATGAAATAACATATTTTCGATGTGTGTAATAAGCAGGACCAAGAAAGAAAGCCATTATTTGAAAATGTAAGTTTTTGTTTGTATGTTCTCTGGTACTTTCATGACGATGTCCTGCAGTGGTAATGCTGGATTATCAGATTAAGCGCCGCAATACTACACATACTACACATACTACACATACTACACATACTACACATACTACACATACTACAGTTATACATACAAGAACATCCCCTGCATCCTTGCCCCTACTGACGTCATACTCTACAACAAGGGATGCCGGGAGGTCTCCTGCGCTGGCGTTCTGTTGAGTTGCAATGGACGGCTGGTAGCGAATGTAGGCTGTGTTCCTAGTCGGCATGGTCACCATAGACTCGGCGTCGATCTCTTTGAATTGGGAAAAGTTTATGCCTTCAATTTCTAACGTTGAATTTGATACTTTTTTCATCGATGAATTGTTTTATGACATTGTGTTAGTTGACGTTAATGCTGATCCCAAAGTGTCTACGTATACACACTGGGTCTAAGACAATGGTTTTCGTGTTGCCCACTATTCATGACCTCCTCAGATACATCGGTGGCACAAGAACGCACACGCCGACACATAAAGTGAGTGAGTGAGTGAGTTTAATATCACGGCGGGGGACACCAGAAATGGGCTTCACACATTGTACCCATGTCGGGAATCGAACCCGGGTCGAACTCACACGCCTACACAAACACACACATATATATATATATATATATAATATATATACATTAAAAGTGCAGTTGTGCTATAAAGTTTAATCGATTTGCAGGCTTGCGTATGTGTGACTGTATATATAAGGTCTAACTGAAGAACTGACCAGTTATATCGACGTCGGTCACAAAGTTGCTGTTTTTGATAGGTAGAACCTTGAGGTAAGTGAGGTCACGTGACTCCTGGATTGTCACATCCACCCTAAGGTCGGGTACGGGGTGGCCAGGGTCGATGTACGTCACCTGCTTGTATGTTCCCAGTCGGCGTTGAAGTACCTCTTGATAAGTCAGGTGGAACGTCGCTACGGACATTGGTGCAATGTCAACGCCAATTGTGAAGCGGTTTGTATCCCGTGGTCTGCAACATTAGTGGTGGATGATACAACATGAGATACAGTCGGCAAGTACTGTCACTGTCGGGCCCTATTGCACATAGTGATCTTAGCGCTACGACTATTGTAAGCCAATTTAAATGAATGGGAGTTACGACCATCTTAGCGCTAAGATCGCTTTGTGCAAGTGCGCCCTGGTCTGAGGCCTGAAGACAGAGCTCATTTGTTCCCCTGCGGTTGTCCCCTGACGTTATATTGCTAATATGCATCCATGCTCATCACCAGGCAGATATCAGACACTAACACTATAGACTTACAAGAACACGGAACAAGAGGCTCGTGAGGATGCAAGGCAGCCTACCTGATCTTGTGTTGGTTGTCTGCTGACGGGCCACGTCGCCTGGTCTTTATGCGTACACTGCTGGAGGAGGTCTTCTCCCGTACAACTCCTGTGTACGTCTTGCCGTCTATCTCCCTGAAAACAACGCGAGACCTGTAGTCAGTCCTTATTTGAATTGTACATGTGTTTCTGTTATTTTCTGACAAATTATGTTGGATAATAATGGAATAATACATTACACAGGATATTATTGATGTGATACACGACACAGGGTATTATTGCTGTGATACACTTCACAGGGTATTATTGATGTGATACACTACACAGGGTATTATTGCTGTGATACACTACACAGGGTATTATTGCTGTGATACACTGCACAGGGTATTATTGATGTGATACACTACACAGGGTATTATTGGTGTGATACACTGCACAGGGTATTATTGATGTGATACACTACACAGGGTATTATTGATGTGACAACTACACAGGGTATTATTAATGTGATACACTGCACAGGGTATTATTGATGTGATACACTGCAAAGGGTATTATTGATGTGATACACTACACAGGGTATTATTGCTGTGATACACTGCACAGGGTATTATTGATGTGATACACTACACAGGGTATTATTGATGTGATACACTGCACAGGGTATTATTGATGTGATACCCTACACAGGGTATTATTGATGTGATACACTACACAGGGTATTATTGCTGTGATACACTGCACAGGGTATTATTGATGTGATACACTACACAGGGTATTATTGATGTGATACACTGCACAGGGTATTATTGATGTGATACCCTACACAGGGTATTATTGATGTGATACACTACACAGGGTATTATTGCTGTGATACACTGCACAGGGTATTATTGATGTGATAGGTCAAGGCCAAGGAGTGCGATAAACTGGTAGATTTGTGTGTGGTTCATGTACATCTGTCTACTGCCACACACAATACACAAAGGACTCGTGTCGCTTATGATTTTATATAGTTGTGTGGTTGGATTTACAAGGACACGTGGATCGCACAAGTGATATTTACAGTTGCCTGGTTGGAATTACAAAGACACGTGTAGCCTAGGTGATATACACAGACGCAAGTAAAGTGGGGGATATATGCAGTTGAGTTGTTGGCATTACAAAAGACACGTGTCGCATAGGTAAAATATATATATATATAGTTGTTTGATTGGATTTACAAGAACACGTGGCTCGGATAGGTGATATATATAGTTGTTTGATTGGATTCACAAGAACACGTGGCTCGGATAGGTGATATATATGGTTGTTTGATTGGATTTACAAGAACACGTGGCTCGGATAGGTGATATATATAGTTGTTTGATTGGATTTACAAGAACACGTGGCTCGGATAGGTGATATATATAGTTGTTTGATTGGATTTACAAGGGCACGTGGTTCGGATAGGTGATATATATAGTTGTTTGATTGGATTTACAAGGGCACGTGGTTCGGATAGGTGATATATATAGTTGTTTGATTGGATTTACAAGGGCACGTGGCTCGGATAGGTGATATATGTAGTTGTTTGATTGGATTTACAAGGACACGTGGCTCGGATAGGTGATATATATAGTTGTTTGATTGGATTTACAAGGACACGTGGCTCGGATAGGTGATATATGTAGTTGTTTGATTGAATTTACAAGGACACGTGGCTCGGAAAGGTGATATATGTAGTTGTTTGATTGGATTTACAAGGACACATGGCTCGGAAAGGTGATATATGTAGTTGTTTGATTGGATTTACAAGGACACATGGCTCGGATAGGTGATATATATAGTTGTTTGATTGGATTTACAAGGACACATGGCTCGGTTAGGTGATATATGTAGTTGTTTGATTGGATTTACAAGGACATGTGGCTCGGAAAGGTGATATATGTAGTTGTTTGATTGGATTTACAAGGACACGTGGCTCGGAAAGGTGATATATATAGTTGTTTGATTGGATTTACAAGGACACGTGGCTCGGAAAGGTGATATATGTAGTTGTTTGATTGGATTTACAAGGACACATGGCTCGGTTAGGTGATATATGTAGTTGTTTAGTTGGATTTACAAGGACACGTGGCTCGGATAGGTGATATATGTAGTTGTTTAATTGGATTTACAAGGACACGTGGCTCGGAAAGGTGATATATATAGTTGTTTGATTGGATTTACAAGGACACGTGGCTCGGATAGGTGATATATGTAGTTGTTTGATTGGATTTACAAGGACACATGGCTCGGATAGGTGATATATATAGTTGTTTAGTTGGATTTACAAGGACGCGGGGCTCGGATAGGTGATATATGTAGTTGTTTGATTGGATTTACAAGGACACGTGGCTCGGAAAGGTGATATATATAGTTGTTTGATTGGATTTACAAGGACACGTGGCTCGGAAAGGTGATATATGTAGTTGTTTGATTGGATTTACAAGGACACGTGGCTCGGAAAGGTGATATATATAGTTGTTTAGTTGGATTTACAAGGACGCGGGGCTCGGATAGGTGATATATGTAGTTGTTTGATTGGATTTACAAGGACACATGGCTCGGATAGGTGATATATGTAGTTGTTTGATTAGATTTACAAGGACAGATGGCTCGGATAGGTGATATCTATAGTTGTATGGTTGGTTACAGGGGCACGTGGAAACATATGAACGTATATATCAATCTTACAGTGAGAAGTTTGATATGAAGGCTTCACTAGGAATGATGACATCAAACACGGCCTCGCTTGGAAGTCCGCCGTCGTTGGCGAGCTTACTGGTGATGCGGGTGGAGGCGAAGCGGTACTTGATCTGGGAGGTGACGTGCAGAGACGTGACGCGAGGAGGCTGTAACACAATCAGCTGTACATGATGTTATATATCACCTGTCATGGTAATAGTGTATATCTTATAGCAGCTGTACGTGATGTTATAATAGAGTATATCGCAAAACAGCTGCGCGTGATGTTTTATAATACATTTCATGAAAATAGTGTATACCTCATAGCAGTTGGACATAAAGTTATATGCTACCTCTCTTGGTAATAGTGTCTATCTGACAGCAGATGTATGTAATGTTATATGCTACCTCTCTTGGTAATAGTGTCTATCTGACAGCAGATGTATGTAATGTTATATGCTACCTCTCTTGGTAATAGTGTCTATCTGACAGCAGATGTATGTAATGTTATATTCTACCTCTCTTGGTAATAGTGTCTATCTGACAGCAGATGTATGTAATGTTATATGCTACCTCTCTTGGTAATAGTGTCTATCTGACAGCAGATGTATGTAATGTTATATGCTACCTCTCATGGTAATAGTGTATATCTGACAGCAGATGTATGTGATGTTATATAATACCTGCCATGTTAATAGTGTATATCTCATAGCATCTGTACTTAATGTTATATACTACCTGCCACTATCTTGGTAATAGTGCATTCTCTCACAGCAGCTGTATGTGATGTTATATAATACCTGCCATGGTAATAGTGTATATCTCATAGCAGCTGTACGTAATGTTATATACTACCTGCCACTATCTTGGTAATAGTGCATTTTCTCACAGCAGCTGTATGTGATGTTATATACTACCTGCCATGGTAATAGTGTATATCTCATAGCAGCTGTACGTAATATTATATAACACGTCCCATTTTAATTCTGGAAACCCAAAAGTCCAGAAACTCTACGGTCTTTGCCCAGTCTCGGTTAAAGGTATTTACAAAATTAAACATGCCGTTTTCATGGGAACATACCAAGGAAGAAAAAATGAAAAAAAAATTGTTTAAAAACTCAATATTTAGACTATGTCGCCCATGGGCCTGCCCATGGGCGAAGTGTGGCCCATGGGCCTGCCAATGGGCTAAGTCTGGCCCATGGGTAGGCCCATGGGCAGGCCCATGGGCGAGAATATGTTCCTTTACTTAAAACTCATGTTTTTGATTCGCAAATACATTTAATGTATTCATTCAAGTATCATGACACAATATTTAACTCATTTTAACTTAATTCAACGATTTTATAACGATATTGAAATATTTCGCCCATGGGCGAGAAAAAGGTTTGGCCAATGGGCGAGAATATGTTCTTGTACTTAAAACTCATGATTTTGTTTCGCAAATACATTAAATGTATTTATTGAAGTATCATGACACAAAATTTAACTCATTTTAACTTAATTCAACGATTTTATAACGATATTGAAATATTTCGCCCATGGGCGAGAAAACGGTTTGGCCCATGGACGAGAATATGTTCCTGTACTTAAAACTCATGATTTTGTTTCGCAAATACATTAAATGTATTTATTGAAGTATCATGACACAAAATTTAACTCATTTTAACTTAATTCAACGATTTTATAGCGATATTGAAATATTTCGCCCATGGGCGAGAAAAAGGTTTGGCCCATGGGTAGGCCCATGGGCAGGCCCATGGGCGAGAATATGTTCCTTTACTTAAAACTCATGTTTTTGTTTCGCAAATACATTTAATGTATTCATTTAAGTATCATGACACAAAATTTAACTCATTTTAACTTAATTCAACGATTTATAGCGATATTGAAATATTTCGCCCATGGGCGAGAAAAAGGTTTGGCCCATGGGTAGGCCCATGGGCAGGCCCATGGGCGAGAATATGTTCCTTTACTTAAAACTCATGTTTTTGTTTCGCGAATACATTAAATGTATTTATTTAAGTATCATGACACAAAATTTAACTCATTTTAACTTAATTCAACGATTTTATAGCGATATTAAAATATTTCGCCCATGGGCGAGAAAAGGGTTTGGCCCATGGGCGAGAATATTTTCCTTTACTTAAAACTTATGTTTTTGTTTCGCAAATACATGCAGGTGTTCTTACTATTTTCATGGCACATAATGTAACACAATTTTACTCAATTCAGCTATTTTACAGATTTATTGAAATATTTCGCCCATGGGCGAGAAAAGGTTTTGCCTTCGAAATCCTTGATTATTATATCATGTTCTGAAATTCAGTGACAATGCTGTTGAACAGTAGAATCTGATTGACGTATTTCGCAGAACCTGTTTGACACTATGGGTTCCAGGACCACTAACACTCTGAGCTGAAAAAGTTTGGTCCTAACCGCACCCAAAATCTTTAATGAACCCGGCCTTATCTCTCAAAACGTTTTGGCAGTTTATCATACGAATTCATGTGCGTGTACAACATTACTGTGCAATTACGTGACAGGTACGCGTGCGCGCATTTTAATGGAAAGAAACTATTCGTCTTTTATTGCATAACGTTTGGCTGAATATCTTACATTCTAACGAAATCTCGAAATAATTATTTAATTACAAGCAGTGTCGAACTGACCAGTAGGAATTATGTTTCAATGCGATTGAGGAAAACGTGAGTGAATACTGTGACACCAAAGCAACTTTTAACTGCATTGTCACTTTTGGTATGAAAATGGTAATAGTTAAGAAAAACGTAACAGCCTTCTTATGATAATTCTCATATTCTCATTAGTACGTTGTGTCTAATTACAGTGTCGGCCTTATTTACAGGTGATTCTACAATACTTGTTGTCGGTCAATTACAATCTGCCACACCACGCGTGAATAAACAGTTATGCAGGTGTTGCTGTGGGCAAATACCTAGCCTGTACATGTATATTTTTGTGGATACATGTTTTACAAATGTTCGTTGATATGTGGATATATTAAGCACCAAGACACAAAAAGTTTATGAAAGATGAATTTGTGCCTTGATATATATATTCAACGCGAACGAAGCTTGTATTTTCTCCGCGATCCTGATGTGTATCATCGTTTAATTGGTCATTCATTAAAAGTATGTTGTGAGGCGATATCAAAGGAGCCGCTCAATATACACAGTGTCGTCCGTTTCGCATGAACTACCACCCTACCCTGTCAGTAAGAGTTATGTAATCGGTACACAAATATATTTGGTGCGATGTCAGTGTGGAAGGAGTTTGAATTACGTCCGCCAGTGGCCACAGAAAGTATAGTACCAATCAACAAGGCCAATGCCGTACTAATAACCTAGTGACTCGCGTAACAACGGCTGTCAATATGTCTGCTACATCTACCATACCATCATCCCTGTCACAACTGGCGTATTAACGGCTTATTCAAAATATTAATTGTAGAAATGTCGTTACCAGACTAACGTACGTCGTATTCAGTCCTCAACTGGATGTTACATTCCTTATATCAGTTAACAGCCCTGTTTGTGAAAATATTTACTAGACATAAGATTTAAAGACTAATAAAATCAATTGTAAGACCGCATAGACCATAAAACCGAATAAAATATGTCTTGGTATCATCTCTTGTGTATTAGATGATGGCAATGACCGGAAATGTTATAACGTTAGATTAAGAAGGAGAAACATTAAAGTGTTTTACGATACTTGGAAACATGAGCAATAAGATGTAGCAACATAAACATGCATGGAATAGGGAAAAAGGATGAAAACAAATTGAAAAGGATTTTAATACAAAATTATCGAACTAAATAACTTGCCTGAACAGAAAGGGTACCCAAACTTGTTTGACAGTTATTCGTGTGTTGTAGACTGTCGAATGGGACACATGTGTGTACGTAGGGTACGCATATCTATTGCAAGTTTTAGTACTCATACACTTTCTCTTTTTGTGTTTTGTTTGTTTGTTAGTTGTATAACGCCACACTTAGCAATATTTCAGCTGTATGACGGCGGTCTGTAAATAATCGAGTCTGGACCAGACAATCCAGTGATTGACATCATGTGCATCGATCCACGCAATTTAGGATACGATGACATGCATCAACCAAGTCAGCGAGCCTGACCACCCGATCCCGGTAGTCGCTTCTTACGACAAGCGCTGTCGTCCTTTTACGCAAAGAATGGTTTGTTGAAGATCTTCACGGGTCTATTGAATGCAGGGATTTGTGTAAAGTCATTCAGACAGCATACAATGCCAACTAAAAAATTATACTCAGTGTCTCCGCAAAGTAATATAGTACGGTACTTAGAGTACATGTGAGATTATACTCAGATTAGGGAGATGTTTTATCCATATAACGTGTTATTATTCTACCTAACAATGTATTTAATGAAATGAATGCAAAACAAACTCAGCGGCTAAAAGGTTTCATTGAAAAAACTACCCCTAGTCTTGACTAATAAAACAACTGCAACCCGACACAGATTAAACGCAACTTACAAACACAATCATAATCTGGTTAGTCTGTATCACTCAACGAGGCCGCTTACTTTGCCCACAGTATGAAAGTATTGGGCAGTTCAGTAATTAGGAGCCAAAACCAGGCAGGTACGCTGGTCACACTTGACTGGTCTGACTGATGATTAGGTCGTCTGACAATTGTGAGTGAACCATAGCAAGAAGTATCTGCGAAACTATTTGCTCCTTTTATGGGACCGATTAGTTTTATGACCATGGGCCTCGGCACAAGCGTGGTGTTGGAAGACAAGTTATACATGTACATCCGATATGGTGACTGTTTTTCGCTATTCATATTCTAAATACATTCATAATACCACAACATTTTAGTACTCCTTGAAACTTTACAATCACTTCAATATGTACAATAGATTGAACGAGAACACTTGATATATTGCAGATTATTAAATCATTGTCTCTATTATCAGCCGCTACGTTTGTATCGTTTGCATTGTACAAAGAAATATTTTATCTGTCCTTTTGCAGATTTAGCCTCAGAATGTGCTCATTCGAATTAGGAACGAAAATAATTGCTTATCATAAGTCTATATGATACAGTTAAAAGTTACTTGTACACTGTAGACGTATTCACTTTAAAGTCGCATACGACCTTCGCGAGCGAGTTGAATGATC